CGGATTGAATTAAGTGGCATTAGTAGTACCTTACTACAAATTGAATTGAATTTAACCTCATTTTATGTAAATTATAATAATCATTCACCTTCAGAAGGTTCCGTACATGTACCCAAGCATAAAAATTTTATTTTTATGCCCGAAAGAGTTAATTCATTCAATGCAACGACCATAAGAGAAAATTCTTACAAGTTAATGCAAAAAAATTAACAATTGCATCAGTTTTCGGGGGAAAGCAAATAGACGTGTTATCAGCACTGATTACCTCATTTTTTTTCTGTTTTCTTTAATTTTATTTAAATTTATTTTATTCAAATTTTTTCTTCAAATTTATTTTGCTACTTTCAAAATTATGCGAATGTATTGCAAAAAATTTCTGTCTTTTTCCATTCTTTTCTAAAATAACATATGTCGGGATTGAAAAGTTGTCTGTGAATCTTGGGATTTATTCCCGAAAGAAAGTTTTATCATTTATGCAACGCAATTGGCCAATCGACTATTTTTCTCTACGTTGGACAGCAATTTGGGTGAAAGAGGTGGCACATGCGACGACAATTGCATTTCAAATAAAATTCATCATGCAACAGACAATGGTACCTGCAGAATAACTAACATTTAAAAGCAACAAAAAAAAAACAATAAGAAAAAAATGGAAGAGTTGTTTGCATAATCTTGATTGCCCCAATGGTAAGTCCGTTATTTCTCATTTCTAGTTTTTAATGTTATTCATTTAATTATTTATTTGATTCTATTGTTTTTCTTATTTTTCAATCAAATATTTTCTACCAGAGACTTTCCCAGAGTTTTCAGCAACAGAATTCCAAATCGTCAAAAAAAATTGATGAGATGACTGAATATTTTCTGACAAATAACTTCATACTATTTTTTTATAATCACAACGGGAAGAAAATTGTTTAATCGCTGGGATAAATAATATTCTACCCCCTTCTATCGGAAAATTGCAGTTGAATTTTCGAATTAGATAAATGGAAATTTTTAACAGCAATAAAGTTTAATGAAGCATCTGTATAATTGTTCATCGACGAATCAATAATCAAGCAATAATTCCATAATTAATTCAGGTAATAATTTCCCTGAATTTCTACTTAAAAAAAATATACATAAACAATTGAATAAATATAAATACTAAATTAATATTGAAATAATATTAATATAAATATAAACTATCTTATAAATTCAAACGTTGATGGAAAAATCGATCATTATTTCACATGAAAAATGCATGTTGAAGCTATTTTTACAATAACACGTGTAACTCACCAAAGAATAAATGCCTACAGCATGACCCAACCATCGGAAGCATCACCTGACCTTTACGAAGGATTTAACAACTCTCGAGGATTGCCTCTGAAATCACACATGAAGACTTGAATGATAAAACGACAGTTATAAAAATTCTGTGCACTGACGACTCAAGCTCGTGCCCGTTACACAACAAAACTCACGTACTAAAATTATAAATGTATCTTCTTCTCTTCTCGCCGAACCTGTGAAGCATTTCAGCCTGGATTTTAATGGTTCATAATTACAGATTACAAGAGACGAACGAGAGATGAAGATAGGTGGACTTCTCAGGTGTACCAATTGGTAACTGTTCGCCTGCATCGTAAATTCAATCGGTTATTTTATAATCTGCATTTTAAACGCACGTGGATTTTCACAGCGAAGAAAAAAGTACACTCGAATAATCATGAGAAATTATACGGATTCATTTATTCTCTTTTTTTTTTATTCATCTTGCGGAATTCCCACGGACAATTTAAGAAATCTCTTCCCCGGTCGTCCGCTCTACTGACATGAAAAATCTATTTCGTCGCCGTGAAATCAGAGACATTATCGTACCAACAATAACATTCTTATGGTAAAAAATTACCAACTTGGTGGTATTAAGATTTCTACTTTTCTTTTGAGGAAACATTTCTGGTTTTCCCAGATTTTCTAATGCTGGACATTTATTATTCAAGTTTTCTTTTTCCATTTTTGTTGGGAAATGGAAAAAGTTGATTGATGAGTTCGTTCTTCAAGTGATAGATTAATTATCCTAGCAATGAACGTGTCAAAACTGAGGTGTTAGAGAATGTAGCGTACTTACATAATTATTAATGATATATTGCGGATAGGGAGATAAAAATAAAAATTAATGAAAGGAGCGAAATAAGTTCAACAATTGTTTTAAGTTATTTCTTAAATTTTTTAAATGGTTAATAAGTTTAGGTAGAAAAATGAGAAGATAGCGGCAATAACTCCGTAAGGCCTAGGTCAATGAGACTGATGATGATGAGGATGTGGGCTGGCCACAGGGTCCACAGGCCCTGACCGTCACTTACAATTCCAATGTCAAACTTCACCGCACTATGATAAGCCCATCCTCCATCCACCCAAAACACGAAACACCACAAATTCCTATGCTAATTATACCTCTCAAATATACCACGAACGTTCCAGTATTTCTGACACGCAACCATTGAAACACCTCCGAGGGTTCCTCTCCAGGATATTTAATGGGAGGACATCGAGTTTTCGCCTCGTTTCTTCAGTTATTTCAAGATTCACCTAAGAAATTCGACGGATACCGGTTTTAGGTCTGCGATAATAAATATTTTTGTTTCCTCTGAAAATAGCAATAACATTCTTCAACTGCCATAATAATATTCATTTTTACGAGCATTTTTAGTGCCTCAAATTCCTCGACACTTTTTTTTTTCATTTATTCTTCTATACCAGAAACACTGAATTTGTTACGAATTTGCAATTTGAAATTTAAAAGGTTCGAAATTACTTTAGAATTCAGGAATTTTAGGGCTTTGAAACTTCTCATTTGTTATTTAGTGCTGCGAATGTCAAATTTTTAATTTCTGGCTAAATCGTTCCCTATGTAGTTTCGATTTTGTTTAAACATTAAATCATAAAATTAAATTTTATTAATTGAGCAGTAATGATGATGTTCATTAAAATCTACAGGTTTTATATTTTCCCATAATCCCATAAGTTTCAGCGTTTTCTGAAAAATCGTATGAATTTTAGAAAAATTTAAAAAAAACGCAGGAAAAATACTGCCCAATCCCGTCAGTTTGGGAATCATTAAATAATAATAAAATCCTAATGCCAAAATGCATCGATTAATTAATAATTATCCTGTCGATTTTATAAATAACTGAATGGTGAAAAGATGAGCGAAAAAAAATGATTTTTCAAATCTACTTCTTTCAATAATCAAATATCTGATATTCGATCTGAAGATCAAATTTCAATACGGTATCTCTCAATCCCTTAGTGCACAGACCCATAACATCCGTCTACATGTGAGAATTGTAATCTCACCTGTTGTATACACCCCAGTCCAAACAGTAAAACGGAATTCGAGACATCCTGACCTCAAGACCTCGAACCACCTTGCACCTCTTTTCTCCCTCCTCCTGTTCATCCATCAGAAAGAGATACAAGTTGCACACAGTTACAATAACATCTTCCCAAGTACATCCCCCTCTTTTATCCGACCTATGACCCATAAAACCATTATACAAATAAAAAAATTACACGTGCGTGTGCTCGACCTGAAATGAACACTCCTGTCCCCCGTCATTATCACGCAGTCCACGTACATCAAAAGCAGAGCCACTCATACAAGAGACAAGATCATCATGAATTTTCATTTTCATTTTTAAATGAAAGAAAAATATGAACAGGATGCTCAACCCTTATGTGAAGTAACTGCGCTTGCATTCCCACGATATGATATAAAAATTAAAAGGAAGGAAAAAGGAATACAAGTGCGGAGCACTGGAAGAATTGCCCCGCGAGATGTTGAAGATGGAATTTGAGGGATAAAGTTCATGAGTAATGTGTGGAATAGAATATTGTGGAATTGTAAAATTAATTGTAAAAAAGAAAGGAGAATTTACGGTCAAGTGACATCGCGACAATTTTCCAAGGTGTTGATTCGAACATTTTCATTGATCCTGACAATTCAAAAAATTCGATTTTCCGTATCAAATTATCATTTATCAATGAAAATGTGAGTTTATGAAAATTGATTGGGATTATCGAACGTCATCAAATTCACTTTTCAATCATTTCCAAGATTTTATCGTGCCGATTGCAATTATAAATTCATTCATTAATGAAAAATCACCGGAAATTTGTTGAAACTCCGTCTACAAGACATCTAACCAAATTTTAAAAATTTTTCCATATTGAAGTATATCACATTTCTTCTTCAGTATCGTAAAAACACTGATTTTTGAAAAAAGTCAAAAATTAAAAAAAATAATCAATCCATTGCATTTGAATTGATATCGACAACTAAGGCTCAACAATACTGCGATATAAGAGAAAAAACATTATTTGAATTCACGCATACATCAACACGCGATAAGAGATCAAATTTGAAAAAAACAGTCATATACACGCATACAACGTACATATGTAGAGTCGACCATTTAACTTCATCAAACAAACAGAAAAAATGTTGACGAATTCAAGTGAACGAGTGTACACACCTACGGAGTCGCTGCAAAAATAGATTTTTCAAAATTTATTAGCCTAATGGGTCAACCCACCACAAAAATACAAATCTTTAATTTCATGGATTACAATGCCTTCGACTAGGAAGCGAAGAAAATCGAGAGAATGATGAAAATCGAGAAAATAATGAAAATCGTGGAAATACAAATGATGTTTATTTGTTGGTGCTGCATTTAAAATGCCACATAGCCAGCATCCTAGACCCCAAGAATCCCGGAATACCTTGAGTCCCCTCGGCCCGCAATCCTCCCACAGCCTATGCCCCTACTCTCCCCCCTATACCATACGAAAAGTTATCCCCCGCAGGCATAACCACGACAGTCTAACCTGCTCGCCTCAGCACCAACAAAGACAGAATGATCAAAGAGACCAAAGGATACCACTATTCCACGTACCTTCTCTCGAGCCGCAGGTACACGACTCCCAACCGATTCACCTCAGTCCGGTACCGACCGCCAACGTTGAAACAACCCGTACCCAAGAGACCCTTCAAATCCCCGATCTACTGCGCATGCGCACATCCAAGTAAATATAACCCCCTACCACCCTGCCAATTGTCCAAGAAAATCCAAGAGAAGAAATAAAAGTCGTGGAACAATCGAGGGAAGGAAGAGGGAAGAAATAAAAGATCAGGTTTAAGAACCAAGTGAATAGTGCAGACATTAAAACCCACGGTGTGCAGACTCGTGGGAACAGTGCAGCAGTGAAGAAGCCCGAGTGTTCCCTTCCCCCACCTTGGAAAGCTAGCCAGCCACAAGCTTGAATGGACGGTAGGATGACCACTGGTCGAATTTCCTGAGGAAGAAATCCGAGGCGAAGCCCCGAAGAATTATTCGATATAACCTATAAAAATCCAGGGCGATAGCCGCACCTCTAAGATTCCTCTATTTCTTGGCACTTAATCGTTGGGCACAAGTGAGCGAATAAATCCCCACCGTGAGGATTGGAAAAAGGCAAGAGTTGAGCGTGGAAAGAGGAGAAAAATTCCACGGGGGCAAATCACATACACATACTCAGAGTCTTAAGGTTCGACGCCACTGGCTACTCGCATACCTGGGACGTGCGAGTGAGATAAACTCATCCTACCATCCAAACTGTTTTCCTCCCCTCCTTGGTTGAAGAAGAAAAAGGAAGAGGCTAAATGCTCGTGAGGTATGAAGAAAACTGGTGGGGACTAGTGTACAGCAAACTGGAGGAGCAACTGGATAAAACAGTGGTGGGAGTTTAAAGTCCCTGAGAGAGACGGAGAAGTTTCAATCGCAGGTATTGGTGTGTTAAAGTTGTGTATCGGTTTTTCAATAAAATAAAAGAATCTAGAGGAAGGAGAAGTGGAGAAAGGTGAGGACAGAGAGAGCATAGGAAAATACAAGAGAATAGAATAGTGTGTGTCCCTCTCTGATGGTAGAAGACAAGTCAGCCATAATGGAGTAAGAAATATCCGTGAGGCGGCTACAGCTGCTGTGAAATCGTGATCAAGGGGGATATTTAGCAATAGTATTGGGACACGATTTACCGCGGATCTAATGGTCTCAGCGGAACGTTAACAGTTAGAGGACTTGATGAAAAAAATCAACACTCAAGTGTTAGTTATTCACAAGTTTATTATATAAGTGTTTTTGTGATGAAGATGATGCGGATGCTTCACGTGGCTCCATAATCTCTGTAATCTACCTAAGTACCCCCGATGGTCAACGAACCGTTGAGAAAGAAGAAATAGTTGGAGCATTGTTTTGAGTATCTCGATGAAGATGAGAGGATCAAGCCAGGATACAGCGACGCCGTACTGTCGTTGTCGAGTGCTGTATCTGGGCAGTTCAGTGCCCCATGCCAGCAAAGAAGGTCTTCTAGGTGTTCAAGAGCCCCTCCGTGAACTATATCCTGAACAAGGTGCATTAGGTGCACGTGGCATAGACTCCTGGCTCAGTGTTTGGTCAAATGGTCTTCTCCTGGAGAATGTTGATGAGCATCGGAAGAAAGTCACCCGTTTCTTTCCAATTGAGGCCCTCCACTATTGCGCTGCAGTGCGTCATGTCAAAGGCGGCAACAGCGACACATCGAGCGCTCGTTTCCTTCCACTCGATTCACCATTCGCAAGGAATCCATCGGCAAATCACCCACCCCTATTTGCTGCTGTACTCCGTCGTACAACGGGAATCAAAGTGCTTGAGTGCCACGCCTTCATATGTAAACGTGACATGGCGGCCAACGCCCTCGTAAGATGCTGTTTTCATGCTTATGCTGACAGTAGTTATGCTAAAGGTCTTGATCCAAATACAGCAACGATCATTAGTAATGGCACATCGCCAGGACCCCATCCTACTAATGGCATGTCCAACGGTAGTTTATATCACACATTGGGTGGTTCCAGTACAACTCTCGACAATAACAGTCCACCAGGTACACGTTTGGATGCAGCGTCCAACGATGACATTAGTCTCTACAATGGAGATGAGAATCACAAAGTCTGGGCCAAGGGCAGGGACGAGGTGGATGCTGTTTACCAGGAGCAGGGCACACTGAGAAGCACCAGGGGATCAAGACCGAGGCAACTGGTGGCACCTCCACCACCCCCACCACCTCCTCCACCTCCACCCCAATCTCAACCCCTCATGTCGGAAGAGTCGACGTCATCAGCCCGGAGAAAAACCAGCAAGAAACTCAAGAAAATCAAGAATCGCCATGAAGATCAGATCATACCGCATCCCCAGATGCATCCGCAGATGCATCCACAGGCAATCTACACCAATGGTCATGGTCATCATACTCTTGGTCATCCGATAAGACAGCAGCACTTCCACCAGATGCCACCAACCAGTCGATCAGTTGCCGGGACTCTAGCTAGACCTGCACCAGTTCTTCTAGTTCCCGCTGCAACTCTTCCCCGAAAAGCGCATCATCATCATCGCGGAATGAGACCGATTCCTGCAGCTGCACCTATTGTTCCGATCTATGCTCCTCTTCCAGTAGTGCCTCCACCACCTGCAGCGCTTTATCAACCGACTTATGGAACTGCTGGCAACCGAGGCCGAAGGCAACATCCACAGGAGGTGGACACCTCGACACTGGGGGCTAATCGAAGACTCGCAGCTTCTCATGCAGATCTTACGGCAGCCGATGGGGCGGCTGAAAGTCCCGATGGTGATTCCCGATTTGGCACTGGCATCTACAGGCGCAAAGGTCATCTCAATGAGAGAGCCTTCTCTTACAGCATTCGGGCTGAGCATCGCAGCAGGAGTCATGGGAGTTTAGCATCCCTGGGATTCAGTCCTCAGAATGGCAATGGTCATCCTCCACATCCTAAAGAGGAGAAGAAAGATCGAGAATTCGCGCAGATGCTCGCTGAACTCGGTCTTGATGATCACGAGAGGGCACAGTACGCAAGGAATAATCATCATGCACCACAGCCGTTGCCCAGACCACGTCGATAAATTGATTGAATCGATTATAATCGCTGGCCTTTCTCGACTAATACTCATGGATATGATAATTGGATTAACGGAGATATTGTAATTTATGAAAGAAGGGGAGAAGAGGGCGATTGTTTGATCATTTGGCGTTGGAAATTCGTGGAGATCATTGATCGGTTGTTCGGCCGTTTCTTTATTTTCTTCTCGTTCTTTTAATTTCTCATGGTAGATTCAATGACCTTCCGAGCTAAGTGCCAATTAGTCAGGAGTAATTGTCCTTGCAGGATACAGCGTCACGCTGTAGGAGTTTGTTTAGAGAAACGCTGTCCTTGATGCAGAAGGATTAATGATGAAAGTGCGATATTTTTTGGTGTTCCAGGGAGTTCTGTTTGCGCAGATGGTTACGCGTGCTTTCAAAATGCTTGCTCTTTCGGTGTCACATCGTCTCGCGTATTGGCCTGAATACCTGCGATTGAGGCGCGCTGGTAATGCCTTCAGGCAAGAGAGATTGTCCACGTGTATAACGAGGAATCGGTAATTAGCATTCAAACTGTCCTAACTTAACCAGTCACATAAAAAATGCGTGTGTCGCAATGCAAACGGTTATGGCTACAAGAATTTTTTAGTCTCAGGTGCGCCAACCCGGAAATGAGTCTCTTGACCTGGTATTTTTCTGGCTTATAATAGCTTGTTAAATCATTAGAAATCATTGTTTCTAACGTTTCAATATTTTTCAATTGCACCGGGAAAAAATGCTATGGTATTCACAGAACTCGGAAGAAACTGCAGTTCAATTTCTTTTCGTAGCCCATAAAATGCGATACAAAATTGGTTTCTGGTGCATTTACTTTACCTTGCGATATTGCAAAAACAAATTCATAAGTTAATGACTTTTTTTTCGTTTTAGGTCAATTTCCTAGGGTTCACGCGTCTTTAAAAATTCTACAATGCATGCAATTGATTGATTAATTATCAATTGTTCGGTCTAGGATGAATATTTTTAACTTGATTTTCACGTTTGTGAGATTGAAATGAAAATGCCGAGATTTTTAGTTACGTCATGACCGGGATAATAGAGATGATGACAATCGGATGCGCTTGCAATCCTCATATAATTTATCCTCAATTGCATCAAGGTCAACCTGTTTATATTTAGTGATTACATTAAGTCATTAATAAACATCTTTTTTTAGCGGTTTGTTTTGATTTTATGCCGGAGTGAGGAGAAAACGGATTTCTGCCCGCATGGAATAGTCTAACGGTAAAAAAAAACCTCGTTTCCAGCTCATCGAATTTTCGTACGCCAAATGTGTCACACTCTTTTCTTCTCGGTATTAAAATACGGGAAAAATGCTGTTTACGGTAGAAGGAAATTGCCCGTATCTCGTGGTAGATAATTTTCTCGAGTTCAACAGAGCCATTTTAATATTATAAATGTTTTCGAAAAGACAGGAAATTTTCAATTTATGTTTTTCATTTCCAGTGTCTTAACGCGAATTCACGTTGAAACGAATATGTTATATAATATGATAATTTTAATTGTACACTAATATTTTCAATATCTTTTTTATCGTCGCGACTGTAGGGAGAGTTTGGGGCTTGATTTACTAAATTAATAACGAATTAACAAAATCAGATAGCGATTCGCTTGGAAGTGATGGAAGTGATGGCAATTGCAATTACAATCAATGTCATTTTTTTTCCTCTAATTTCATTGTTCATTCTGTGGGAAATGAATCTAGCCTCAATACCACTATATCTAATGAGATATTTAAAGAGTAGGAAGTAGTTTGGAGTAACCGGAAGCCAACGGAAATCAGTGCAGGACTGATCGATGTCGATAGTTTGATTTTTTTTTTTTTTCATATTTTTTTGTATCGTGGGTGCATGATGCATTCGATTTGGATTTCTATGTCTTCCGTGTATTAATTTTGGTCAATGTGTGTGAGTGTTACGCAACAATGAACGGTCAGTATGCAATACGAAGGCAGCATTCAAGGATATCGAATTACCCCCCTTTGACGAACTCATAATGAGGATTTATTTTGCTGCCAGTACGCATTATCGTATACGCATCTTAAATGACGATAGACGAGCGTAATGCATTAAACATTGACGATCATGTGCCGTGAATTTTTATTGTGTGAAAAACGCATTATTTCATTTGCAAACATAAGGAATTAGAAATTACTCCGTGGGGAGATGATGAAAGGGGAGAATTATTTTGTTTTCTTGTGATCTAGTTACGATTGTTTCAACTCGTGGTATGAAATTTCAGGACATCTTGTTCAGTTTCTCATCGAAAATTAGGAATCAATTGAAATTTATTAGTTTTTATTTCACTATTTAACGTCGGTAGGAAAGTTTTTAAATATATTCATGTGAAGAGTCTTGTAAATTTATCACTGATTGGAAATTTGAAATTTATTCCCAAGGTTTGGGAAATCATCGATTTGTCTGTCGATTGTTATAACGTGGGAATTCTCTTGATTTTTTCCACTCAAGCTTGATCTTAATAAGTTATTGCCCAGATCGTCTCATATTTCATGCTTTATTAATTATTGAGAAACCCTGAATCAGATTGGCGTTACAAAAAATGTTTCGTTCATAGATTCTATCATTATTCAATGATCCATAAATTTTAGTAATTATGCATTTATTCCTCCAAATTCTTCATGAGACTAATAATAAAAATGAAGACCGGTATATTCCACGTCAATTTTAGCGACCGTTTGTCAAAAATTTGTAACTTAAAAAATGAGACGATATCGGCAAAGATATTTTTGTAAATGAAAAGATCTGACATTTTTCACAAGAAACTACTCGCCATCTGAACAATTATCCCAGTAACGGATTCACTCCCACTGATAATTAAAAAAAAAAATTACAGAAATGAATTTGTACATTTTTATGCGAATTATGTCGAACCATTAATCCATTCGCCTGTGTTTTTATTAGTATAGGAAAGCATAATTAGTGCCGAATGAATTTTTTTGTATAGAGAAAAAGAATGTGCACCGACCAGGAATGTGCCATCCCTCCGAGTTATGGGGAAGAAACTCGCGTAAATATAAGCGGTGAACCGTGTACATGAAGGTGAACGATCAAGACGATCGTTAATAAAAATAAAATATTAAAAAAAAATCAGTAATGGACGACTGGAAGGATATAAAGTGGTCATCGTCCTTTAGCCGTCGGAACATTACATTCACTCCTCCGTGGAATTCAAATATTTGTCAATCATTTGGAAACGTGTTTACGCCATTGACTCATATTTATTAGATAATATATTATGATACTGCAGGTAATTCATTGCGAAAAAAAAAAAGAGTTTAATGATAAGTGTACGACAATGTACGGAAAATGATGAATAAAAATTTGTAGAAACATATGTAAATATTAAAGAAGATCTTGAATTATTTCCATTCACTTGTTCAATGAATTGGGTGGAGTTGGAGTGGAATTATTGGCAGATGAGAGGCATTTTTGTTTTTTTTTATTGGTAAATATAGTTTTCAGAATCCAGTGATTATCGCAGACACGTTAAAAGCTTGAATTACAGTTACAAGCCAACGCAGGTAACGGTTGAGCTGTTACTCCTTGACTGCAGCAATTGGGTCAGCCGGTTGAAACACTTTTATTAATAAAAGCCTCCTTTTTTATGTTGTATATTCTTCCATAATTTACTTGATACGTTTTATTCAGTGATCAATTATCACGATCGACTTTACTGCACGTGGATGTGGTGAATTAAGTTGTGTAGCGGTTCTAATAACACCTCGACTATTCCATAAATGCTCAAGGTGTTTTATATGTCCTCATTTGTTGTTAACCAGGTAAATTAATTTTTTTGGTAAATTGTTAATTGTGGGGAGAGTAATTCGTGTGGGGGATAATGAACATGTCGATTTTTCCAGGGAAAGTATTTTTTTTTTACTCGTGTTAATGCGGGGTTGGAAAATTACGCTTGACATCTGATTACAGTCGCATGAAAGTTTCGGAGAAATTTTTAAAGGGTGATAAGCTTTTGCAATTTTTCTGTCAATTCCATCATTTAATTTAATCTTTTTAAGGATACCTCTCATTAGAGAGTTAATGAATAAAATATTTAATGATAAATATCGTTAAATATCGATAAATATTGTTTTTTCCAATCGTAGAAAGGATTACTGCTGTTAAATAATTAATTTTTGATAACAAATAAGTGTAGTCAAATATTCGTATTGGGAATGTGGGAATTTTCTTATAGTGAGAAAATTTCTTTGGGAAAAAGACTTTTTTTGGGGGTGAGGACAACGAAGTTTCAGGAATGAGTTATTAATGTTTATTATATGTAATGTTTAATGAATATGTAATCTGTAATTACCCGGCTTAGATTATTTGAGGTGAGTAATTTTTTTTTTTGAATTATTTGGGTGATTGCTCATTTTGCATTTTATTCAGACGTCAGTATTTATTCAAGTCAGGAGTATCCAAAGGTCGTATGTACAGATTATCAAGGCACTTTGCAATTGAACGTTTCATGCACTCGAGCTCCATCTGAGTGCATCATTACAGACTCTCTTCTGAGTCAATCGACGACGGATATTTTTTATCAACATTTCGAAGATTATATTTTCGAATTTTCAAGACGATTTTACATGCCTACTTTGTTACTGATAATTCAAATCTTTTTTGTAGGAATTTCGATTACTACTCTAGGAATTTTTAATATCGGCTTTTTTGCAATAAAATTACACAATTAATGGAAATGAAAATAAATTAATTGACCATTTTCTTAACGTCAGATAATTGATAATTAATTTCTTAATGAAAGCTTGAAGTCTCATGCTTATCGTGAAAATTTAATATCAATTCAAATTGAATTTTCAGTCTAGTGAAAATTCGGAATAATCATTGATTCACCAGAATGTTAAAAAAATTACCAATTCATAAAAAAAATCTAGAGAAATTTCATGTCACTCGGTCGTTGCTAAAAACGTCAATTTTCTTACTTGAAATTTCACGTGTAATTTACCACCGGTGTAGAAAAACTGAACATCATTCAATTTTCGTAGGACAAAAAATTCATAAAAATTAATAAAAAATTCCGTGATACATGAAAGCCGCTAATTCTTTTTTTATTCTCCAAGTTCAAATTTTTCCTTCACCTGCAATTAGAGTTTTTAATTAGTTGTCTCTTCCCTGATTTTTGTCACGCAATATCTCGTGTAACTGGTGTCTCGTCGTCTCGGCATTGTGCTTTCACAAAACAATTCTCAAGTTATTTCAGTACAGCGAGGTAATACCCTGCCTTGACAATCTCGGTTGACAATCGAGCCTGATAGTGAAGTTCCTTTTCGAGGTAACCAGACTGTGTAATTGCCTGGTACCCCTTTCTTCTTCGGTTTATTGATGAGTTTTTGATGATACTCGTGTGATAATACCGGTGATAATTCATTACCACATTCATTCGCCCTCATTAAGACTATGAAAATAGCACAAGGAAAAAAATCTCTAACGTTACCTGTAAATTTTAATCAACATCACTGTCAAAATTACCGCTAGGAATTTCCATAAAATTTCGCTAAAATTCTCTCTAAAACATTACATAACAATTCCTGTATCATAATTCTACAGAAATTTCAATCATATTCCCCTTAAAAAAAAAAATTATTATTTTAAATATAATAAAAAACAGGTTCGATCTTTCTTCTGAGTGGGAAGGCTTTTTTCGGCGCATAGCTGAGCCATGCATATCATACTATATATATATATAATATAATATAATATAATATACCATTTTAATAAAATAATGATTTGTCTAAAATAATAAAAAAAAATATTGTATTTATCAATTGAATTTATTTAGAGAAAAAAACTAAACTATTTATTATCATAAATAATGGGCAATTTTTTTTGGACATCTAAGATTCATTTAATAATTAGATTTTATACGTCAAATGATAACACCCCATACGTGTGAGCTTACCATATACCCTATTTAAAAAGAAATAACATCTTGTATTGACAATCTTCAGTTTATCCTGAGATTAATAATTTTTCTCAGATATAACACATAAATTCCGACAAAAAAAACTTGATATCTTCAAAGAAAATAAAATTGAATTGAATTGCAAATAGCAAAAGCAAAAAAAACTGAAGTTCGTCGCATTCCAATCTTGCGCAGCATTTAATGTAACATAAAAATTATTAAGGATGTCAACCTCCTACAATTATCATTAATTCTCGTCTAACGGTAATGCGAATTAAAGCAGTGGAAATAAAAAAATAGTGAATCAACATATCTTAGAGGGTATGAAATCCAGTACTAGAACGATCAAGGCATCATCATACCACCGTTCAGAAATTAGATGAAATGTAGAGGACGTCAACTACCTCGTAAACAATAATTTTACATAGGCAGGCTAACGGGCTCTTACAATTTATAAGATTTCGACGATTAATTGAGAATTGATTTCTCTGTAGCAAAAAAATTATCATGAACATTTGCATATAGTTAAATTCAATTATATAATGTTCAACAATAATTCAGAATAATTGGGGATTTTCATACATAATTCGTGAAAAAAAAAATTTTAAATCCGAATATATGAGAAACAACTCCTTGAAACGTGGAATGAATTTAAAAATATAAAAAACATTTAAATTACTTAATTCCCTGTCTTTACGACTGTTTACTGATACCTTCCGTGTGTTAGCGGGTAATGCCTGTAAAAGGTGACGCATGGCATCTGGCTGATGAATAGAATAGCACAACAGACCTCTCCACAAGTGTAGAGAACGGATTTTTCATTTTTTTATTACCACACAAAACGGTTCACTGAAGTGTCTAGCACGTCCCATCTGTCGCTCTCGTCATAGATACTAAAAAAGGAAATACCGGACACTCGAGGAGTGCCTCGTTGCAGGTTCAGCGATCAACTCGTGAGTAATTGCGCCTTTAGGACTACGTAATTTTTTCCATCGGTGAATTATCGCGGAGGAAGTCCCGAGCAATCCGGAAATCGATCAATTTTCCATGCAATAAATGCCATGAATGAAAATATTCAAACATTTTTCCCAATCAGAATTCACCACGGCATAATATTTTATAAATAATTATTGACTTCTGCGGTAAATGAATTTTCTTATCTGAAAATAAAAAAGCATTTGTCAGTTTGTTTCGAGGTAAATCGAGCCACGAAAATTTCCCAAAATTCTAAAAAAAGAAGGAATTTCATAAAAAACCAATCAAGTAAATGAATTTCACGATTTTTCACGGTTTTAATCATTGAAGGAATGAACTGCGCTGTCCTCCTCTCCAAATATTTCACAGCTGCTATCCTCTATCTCCCAAAATTGCTCCCAAATAATCGTATTTTTCATTTATAATTTACTTTTCTTATCAACGAATCAACATGTCGAGGTTATCAATTCAGTAATGAAACGAAAAATCGTCGCGTGTAAGACCTATGACATTCTGAGAACCTGTAAAATTTCACCGATATTAAACCTGAAACAGAAACAAAAACTGAAAACAAATCGTAAAAATGAATCCAAGGAAAAACGAGTGATAAAAAATCTGTGAGTACTTGTACCGATAATTTTCATGGCTCACAAAATCCCTGCAAGAATATAAAAACGATCTGCGACTATTTATTCATTTAAGGTCACCAGGATGAGTATTATCTACATCCCATGAAACCGGTAATTTAAATTATGCAAATTATTATCAGCATTTGGTTACAAAAGAGGAAAGTAGGATCATAGCAGTAATGTCTTGTGGTTGCTGCAGTACTCATTATGGTCTGCAGAGGTTTACGATCTAAAATCCAGTTAGATCCACAGCTGAAAATACTTAAAGTCTTTGAGTCTCGAACAGATCCTCAGAACCCGTTTCGAATCCATCAATGGGACCAAGAGATCCATTAGAACCCCCGCGAAAAATGGGAATCTTGGAAAAACGTTTTCGAAATGAGAATCTTCTGATCCAGTAATCGCAGACCGGTTCTCTGCTCTTGAAATCACTAAAACTTCAGTGCGCAAATAATTTAAAGATATTCGACACCCTTTCACCCAAAGTTAACATTTTTTTTTCTGGCGAATTATCAATGCGATTAACGAGAGAAGAAATAACATTTTTATGTTTTGCATTTTCATGCATTTTATCAAGAGCTTTGTCATTCTTTTTAAAAGATTGGAAAAAACAAAATATTCGCGCCGGTTTGAAACTTTGTGCGTCATTAAATAATGACAAAACGTAAAAATGTAAATTTTTTACGTCAATTTCATCGTACGTTCACCGGATCAATTTAAAAAGGGAAAATTTCTGTGTGATTTAATGTGTTTTTTAGAGTAATTTTTGGACATTCATTACGACAAATGAATGAATGGCAAATTCATTACAAATGACCACAGGAATCAGGAGTTATTACTAAAAATGCGTGTCTAAATGTTAAAATTTTTTGGGACTTAACATTGAAGGGTGAGAAAATAAAACGATATCTGACCCGATATTTATTCACTCCCATGTTTTTGGGTCCACTGTGGAAGTATCTCACTATCACATTTCTCAGAAATATATTTTATGGTTTAAAATCCCGTATTGATGAAACTGGGCCGCACGTATGGAGTATGTCCATGGAACTGACAGGGAGACATTTTCAAGTCTCTTTATCATTTCCGGAGTCACCCAGTCCCTTTTTACTGCAAAAAAAAAAATACCTCTCAAGTGCATTTACTTTCATAGCGCTCATGGAATTGTATGCCGTCCTCATTTACTTGCCTGTGCGGATAGCCTTGACCTAACAATCCAGTTTCACTCTCTGATCTTGATCAATTGAATGGAATTGTCAAGTGATTAATGAATATTATTACAATTACACATTCCTGCCATTTTTTGCAACAACTGGAATTAATAACAAATTAATTAGTTCATTAATTAATTTTCATCATTCTCAAACATTCTTTAGAAAATTGAAAAGAAAGTCTGCAACGAAATGTTCTCACTATTTTTTCTCCATATTTTATCAGTCTCTTAGTTCGGCAACATATTTAACCATAACTTCCCTACAAGTGGTCTTATCAGTGAAAATTATGAACCATTTTGTTCGTCTTGAGAATATCGATAAGTTTTGTTTGAATGATATTGTTGCAATATCTGTAGGTTGAGAGTTATTGGCATTTGAACAATCAAGTTGAATAATTACGAGACTGGGGTGTTATTAATGAACTGGATCATTTGTAATAGGAGGTTTGAAGAAAATCGACAGCAGTTATGAAATTTCACTGGAAACTATTCCGCAAGAATTCTCCACACATCTGCATCTCAGTCAATGCATTAATTTCGCAGCAATCGAAGCGAAACTCAAACATTTATTCAACCGTTTCTTCCGCATTCTCCTGGGTCCCAAGATGTTTGTAATAATTGTTGGAATGTAGAGATGAAATATCGGAATTTCACTGGGCAGAATTGAAATCGCGGGACTAATTATATAATTTAATATTTAATATTTTAATTTAATATCGATATAAATATAATATTATCAACTATCTCATCAATCATCACTATCAATTTTTACACAGACAATTTCTTTTTTTTGTCCCTAATTTTTCGATCCCCAATATTTTTCAAAAAATGGATTCACTTTTCGAAGTTCAATAGTCAGTTTTCAATAAAAAATTAATCAGGGTTTAGTCAGGGTTTAACTTCAAGTGTCATCCGATAAAAATTCAATATCTTTTCCATAATTTCAGAACCAAAAGTGGCTGAGGAAAATTTTATAGAATCGTAACGGGATTTTCTGCACGGAGAGAGCAATTTATTTTCTTAAGTACATTTAATAATCACAGGAGATTTAATTCAATATTGGCATGTACTATGAAAGTATTTATATAGTTTTATTTGAAAGTAAATACATATTACATATTTTAAAGTGATTCGTAATAAGATCAAGGTCATTGCCCGAGAGTATTCAGCCAAGGTAAATATATCTGGCGAAATTATTCATTTTAATTCCATAATTTTTATTATTATTATTATTTATTTAAGTAATGAATAAATAGTTGCTCCGCGCAACGATTTATTCATTAATAATTATCGAATACATTTTTGGAAAGTCTTATTTGACCGAATTTTCACCTGAGAATCAAATCATTCGCTCACTATTATCAAATATTCATGGATAGTTTATTAAAAAAAATTATTCAAATGATAATGAAGGAATTAGAAATCGGAGGAGATACAAATTTTCTGCATACGAAATGTTATTTATTCAAAAATCGACCGCAATAAAATATTTTTTTCGGTCCATTTTGACCTTTCTTTTCTTATAATACCTTAAAAAAAAATCCAAATGATATAGAATCCTTTTTCTACAATTATAAAACATATATAATATTCAAAATACTAATATACCATAAGATTTAGAAAAGCATACAAATTAAATTTATAGATATATTCTATTTCATACATATTTTTTCATTTTTCCGCTTGTCATTAAATTTTTATATTATTTTGTTTTATCAACTAAAGTCAATGTAGTTATATACTTCTGCATTATCGCATGAAGAAGCAAGTATGAAGATTACATTATATACTTTGTCATAGATTTTATTTCTCGAATAGATTTTTTTTCGAGTGCCCCAATATAATGATTATCGTGACGAAAAGTGCACCCCGAATGATAGTCATAAAAAATAGCAATAAATTGAAATGTTTTTTGGTGTAATAATCGATAATAAATATCCACACTCTTATTTTTACCTGAAAAGCCCATGTGGTGAGGAATAACAGTACTACCGAAGGCGCGAATCACTGGAGACGTTCCATAAAATACCGTTACCACGAGTTGCAGTATGTTGGAAGCCGAAGAAACACTCGAGGGGAACACGTACCCAAGAGCAGAAGTGAGCAGAAGTGAGCAGAAGTGAGCAGAAGATTCGTCGCATGCGTCAGTTGTGCTCTGCCTTGCCTCCACCTCCTGGTGCCTTCCACACATCTCCAACAACTAGTACTCAAGTTTTCAGTGACGTGTTCACCATTCAAACTTATCTGCTTCACCATGTCTCATTAACTACCCGATAATTCCGCCCCTTGCGTTGGATTCAATTCTTCATGGAATTATCCAACTCCAATTACCCCCGGGTTCAAGTGCTATTCATTCATTATTTCATTGTTTTTAATAGTTAACGACGTATTTTTGTCGCTCCAGTTACGATGCTCTGGTTCTCTTCTTGGACATAATTAGTCTTGGTGCCGGATTTGTTGCTGTGGATATTGAAAATGTGTATCGTGTGGTTATCAGTGGATTTATCAAGTTTCAAGTGACAAAATGAATGGAACAACTCATGGTAATTTCTGTGATTACTGTCACTTTTTTCAACTACCCAAATCGTTATCTTTTATAAGAAACTGAATTGGAAAGCTTGGAAAAAACTTGGAAAGATGCTCGGATTATTTTTTTTTAGTCGTTCAATGAAATAAGAACATGCAGGGAATATTTAAGGAGAGATGATCATTAAGGGGAATTCTGCAATAATACTCGCAGACGCATTGACTGACCTTTGAAATTGCAAATTAAAATAATATGGAAGTAGGACATTTCGACTTTCTTCCGGTAATGAATATCATAAATGATATTTGCATAATTTTGGCGATTTTACTGGGCTGTTGGAGCTTTCTGCGAATGTCATAAAGCAGAACGATTCTTTAATTCGAATTTTCGTTGTAAAATTCTTATCGATATCAATAAATTATCGTGACAGATTCCAGTGATTCGCGAATGATTTCTATCATATTAAATTAAAATTATGGAATTAAATTAAATGTTTGTTATAAGATTGGATTAATTAGAAATAATTATCTCCTGAATCCCTAATTACAGTTCAAATTACAGAGCCTACTTCCAAGGCAATCTTATTATATTCAATCATAATACCATTTACTTGGCATCAGAAATTGTTTTTCTCAGTACAGACAGCCTAATTGTCGAGTGGACAAAAAGTTATGTAAATAGTTTAATGGTGTTACAATGTGAAACGCAATTTCCATAAGTGCAAACACTGAGAGAGAATGAAAGGAGTCATTGAGCCTCAGTAAAAATCGAGAAAGCTTAAAAATTTAATCAACTTTATTTTACACTTGAAAAATAATCCATATTAACAATACGAATGCGTGAGCGGTAAAGCCGAAAAGAGAAATAGAGAAATTTGCGCCAATTTTCATGGTTCGCCTCGTTCCTCATCGGTCGCAGATTCCACGATAAGTGCCCTAATGAAAATGATAATAGACTCTTACATCTCTTAAAATTTTCTTTACTTTTTGCGTTTTATTTGTACTCAAGTTCAACCGAGTGAATTCCTACAGAACTTCAATCTTGATTTCAAGAAATATCAATAAATATTGAAATATTTGTTTGGATTTAAAAAAATTAAAGATTACACTAAATGTTATTAGTATTTATTATTAATATAAATTCGTCAATACAAGTAACAATTAGGACTCATTAATCTGAATATAGCGGTGTACATTTGGGAGTTCAATCTTTAGTATTTTAATTTTTATTCACAATGAGATTTTAATTCTTGTAGACTAACCCGATCATGATTTCGACATTTATTATAATTACAGACTACGTTCTCCACTAAAACCGGATTACCTCTATCATAATGACATTTAGGCATAAAGAAAGAGAGAATATGAGGAATGCATACTGGATAAATGCAATTTAATTTTTTGAACTCTGACAGAAAATATTTGCTGACGTCCGTAAGAAATAGAATGAATTCTGGAAAGAATGTCAGGATTAGTCTACGAAAATTGTTAATACCAATATAGATAAATTTTCTCAATGACGATATTTAAATTTTATATCAATCGACTGCGTAAATATATCAGGATGGTTATAAACTAATAAATAAAAAATCAAATCGAGTCGATTTTGACTATTCCCTAGGTTTCAATTGAAATCTCGAAATCTAAAGGAGATACCGTAATTTTTGTTTAGATCTTTTTTGTAGAGCTAATTAAGGGCTACGGAAAAGATTCCGGGGAGTAATTTCGTAGCTCCCTTAGTTTTTCGGAAAAATCTCTGACAAACTCGTCGAAGAGACACCGCTTCAATACTGAATTTTAAGTTAGGATTTTTGAACAGCGAAGGTGATCCACTTATCGGAAATGTTTTATATAAAGAGAAAATATAAAATTAATTTAAATTGATTAAATAAAATTAGTCCAAAATTATTCTTTTCGTGTGACCGTCAAGAGCCGATGTAACGGGAGTCAAGGCAATCATCGCTAGATGAATTTCATCTGTATTAAGAATTTGATCTTCATGAATTTTGAAAAATTAGAAACTTACCAGTCGTCAATACATTTCATACATAATCACATGAATGATTCATGAAAATTAGATGAGCTCGAAATGCGGATCCTAATTTTAAAAGGGAATTTGTACTTTCGAGAAAGGTCTGTTGCTTTGTAGCCGAAATTCACAGTTTGTTGATTTTTCTGACAATTTGATTAGATTGACTCGAAAAAATATTCTCAGTATACCTCCTCGATTTTCGTGTTCCTTTGCTTTTTGATTTAATTCTTCAATTAAAAGATTCAAGTATTTCCGGAAAAACAGTTTACCGATAACCTTAGAGAAAAATTATCCCATTAAGAACGAAACTGACTTTCTGATTCGTCTCATGCTCTCTCCCTTCAACTCCTAAGTCATTTCGCTCCCAGACTAATTTCCAAAGAGAAATCGAGAAGAAAATCGATATCATCCTGTGATAAATGGATATTTTAATTGGAAAATTGATATTGCCCTCTTGTCAATTGCCCTAAGTTAAACGTGTCAGCTAAATACCTTTCAAATCGCAAAATCAATTGAAGTGGAGGTGCAATCAAACCGATGTGACATTTAAATCCGGGAACAAAAATTCTGTGTCCATTTCCTTCGTGAAAAATCGTCGGACAATATTGTTTTCTTTGTGAATTAGTATTCAATAGTATTATACTGTTAGGATAAATAAATAAATGTAGCGGAAAAACGGAATTCTTTACGGAAATCTCATTATTTCTACAAAGAAAGTCCGAGTCTTTCAGCAAACCGCTGTCTGAAGATAGAACAGCCAATTCACCTATTCAACTAAAAACCTCCTCTCAGGGTAAACGAAAAATAAAAAACATTTATGACTCTTCAAATTTCGTAATTTGTCCATAACTAAACCGCTCTGGAGTTCATACCACAACGGATCATAAATTCCTCTCAATTCCTAAACATTTTCCTACAATCCCATAAATCCTTGTACGTCGATATTTGTACAAAAATAATATAGCTGTGCTCAAATATTGCAACACTTACAGTAAAACAGAGGTATCAAGGAAGCTAACTGATTTTTTTTCCAAGAGAATTGAGAGAAAGTCCTGAGTGGCAGCTAATTCCGTTGATGAACCTGCAAATAATTTAGTGGGAAATGAATTAATGAGCAATATTCCCCGGGAATTCCTCGTTTAACCGCCAACTAAGGAGTACCAGAGAGCTATCAATCACCCGAATAAACAAAAAGTGGAAAAAAATTCTTGAACGAATCCGAGATAATCCATTAAAGTGATGACCGTTAGTTCCCCTACCACATTTGCGCATTTGAATAACTCTTCTACTATTAATTCAACGGTCCAGTAAGTGCATCTCATATTTAATACCTTTTTTATTAATTATTTTTACTTGATACAGCTGCATCGACATCCTGGAGTGCAGAGGAAGTCTCTGCGATGCGATGATTGGAGTATCGAATACCTGAGCAACTCAAATTGCGGGGGATAAATAAAACATGAAAATGTCTTGCTCGGAGGAGAGTTTCCGGTTGAATGATGTGGCATCAGTTTGCTCGATGCGAAGCAAAGCTAGGATTGATGCCCTCTTTGAGGACACTCGATCCATCTGCAGCTCTACCTACTCAGGATGGTACGCGAGTGCTCGGGGATGCTCCATCAATCATGAGGACACCAACACTGATGGCATCAAGAGGGCCAATTGTGCTGTCCAAGCGAGGATCGAAGCCATGTTTGCATCGGTTGAAGCTGAAACTGGAAGAGCTGGTGAATGTGCTGCTGCTTTTCTTCCGGTGAGCTTTTCACCCATTCCAATCGTTTTTTCATGCCTGGTAATTACCAATTTTACATAATGATAGTGTTTTTTATTGAAAAATCAACAATTGCGAGAGAAATCAATAACTCAGATCCGAAGACATGAAATATTTTACATTAATCAGAGAGATTTAATATTAAATCTAAATATTGATCAAATAGTCTGAATAGAAATGAATTAATAAATTCCCTGATATTTAGAAAAATAATTCCTTGCCATTTAGTGAAAACGAAATTGTCGGAAGTAAAATAATCTTTTGAAATCTCCGGAAAGAGGCTATTATAATTAATTAATCTTATTAACTTTCGAGTCAGGTATTTAAATAAATGAGGGAAGAGGTGAACGGTTGAATGATCCCTCAATTACCACGAGATTATCACATTTCCGGCGATAAGTGAATCCGTAATTAAACACTAGTCCGTAAATAAATTATCCAATTTGTTATTTGCTCGTTATTCCTTCTCTTCTTAACGTGAATTTCAGGAAAGTATATAATCCATTCTGATAATAATAAGAGCAATCGTATGTACCTGTCATTGAACTGATAAGTGAAATTCACTTCGCAAGTGGAATCTTATTATTTCCATATCGAAAGACTATATCTCCACACGCAATGCGAATTCATACACGATATGAGGTGCTTTGTTTCTAATAGAGGATCAGTATCAGATGAATATCGAGATGTTTTTTCCTTTTTTTCGGAGAGATGAGGGACTTCCTGGACAACTCTCGCTAATAAACGTGACGCAAACTGGAATTTAGACTCGAGTCTTCTCTCATTGTCGTCTCATTTTTCTTCACAGAATTCAAACTTCACTTTCATTGATGTAAAATATGATATATAAATATACGTCATATGAAATAATACATACATCATATTGTATTACGGTGTTCTGCCTTCTCTTCCATTTTTACAATTTATCATTATTTAATCCCCAAAATGTTATGATGGTACAATAATATTCCTGCGCCTTTTCCAAACCTTTAAAAAAATTATAAAACTTGAGAAACAAAATTAATCTAATATATTTTTATCAAATAGAAACTCAAAAGATGTATTCAAGAGCTGTGAGTAATTTGCAAAATTTTCACCTCCAAATATTATCTGAAATTATTAGATTAAACCTCTTTTTAAAAATTAGAATAATATTTCATTCAGGTAATAATATTTTATTTAGATTCTCACCTTGAAGACGAATGCTTCAACAATTATGAATTCATTGAAAACACTAAAACGCTTTGATAAAAAAAGGAGCGAGGAAAAGCGATTCAATTTTGATACTTTAATCAGAGTTCATGCATGTCATAACATCAACAATATAATTATCATCACTTAATTAATTATTATTTGTACAAACCATGACTGTTCGCTTCACCATCATGAATCCTTCCAACTAAATTGACAAATATGGAGAAAATAAAATCGAGTCTAATTATCAGTCTGATAAAGCCAGTTCGAATCTTGAAGTCATCAATTATAGAAAATTAACAATTACTGAAGGTTCTCTTAAGGTAAATAGTAGATGCGAAAGCTCGCCAGATGTACAAAGAACTGAAGAAAGTTGGTACTTTCTAGGTTTCAAGTTATCAGCACATGTGAATCCTTATTTATTTATGTTCACGTCCTCTCGTCACTTTCATTGCGTGATCAGCAAGCCATAACAACTATGGAATTTAACACGTGTCTAAATTGAAACTTACCTCCCTCAATATTCTAATGCCTTTTGTTGATCCTTATTCGATTTTTTTCTGAACTAGTTCATTAAACTCAAAGTTTCCAATGCCCTTTCTTAGTTTTTTTTATTCATATTTTTATTCTTACGTATTCTTACGACTACACATGAGTCTAATTATATTTTGAGACACTTTAACAGAATCTGTCTTCATATAACCCTCTATTAATCCTAGATATAATATCAAAGAATGTAATATTAAAATGTGAATCGTATTGAACTTTTAGGTACATTAATTAATTTTTCCGCTGTGATTCCACAATTCTTGAAAACATAGCTCATTACAAAAATGCAATCTTCCATTTCTTCTCGCGTTTATAAATTGAAACCGGGATGTGTCTCTGAGAAAAAAAGAAATTGAAAAGCTCCATTAAAAAAATCGACTCATCATTCCATTTACAGCTAGTTTTGACGGAAAGAAAAAAGATACATTTTGAAAAATCCAGATTCTCCACAGAACAAATTATTTCTCCGAATCCCTAAGACCCTGTGCCCGTGATATTTCCATCAACAATTTGGCGTACGTTTCCACAATTCTCTTGTACCCGTCTGACTTCATCACCGCAGGATGATTTCCGATGAACCCCATGATATGTTCTTTCAGTCTTTCCGATCGGTGGAGATCGGCGAGAATGAGGAAATTCGCTGCATTATTTTCATTGACTCCTCTATAAAGAACCAATTCACACATGGTCTTCAATCTTGATAACTGAAACATCTCAGCTGCTTCCAGCAATCTATCCGCAAGTGTCTCCAGCCCAGTAACTTCATCTGTATAAATAAACTCCAGCATTGCCTTCACCACAATCGATTCCAGATTCTCAATCTTCACCCGATTGCTCTGGTTTCCTGTGATGCCATCAGCTTCGAGAATAGCAGCGAATACAGGACTGCGAGTTGCCAGGATGGCTTTGTGTGCTGGAAATGTTTCATTTGCAGCAACAATCATAACATCGCTGAACTTCGGTTCCTCGAACAATTTCCCAAAATATCCAGTCCATCTGCCTTTCTCCAGATCTCGAATCAGTTGATCCTCCAGAGAATCTGTAGCATTATAAGATTCTGTGATAGCTTTCAGGGGCATGTCAATTTCCACTCGAATGGTGAACGTGTCGTCGGGTCTGGAAATATTGAGGAGTTGCGATCGTTTTATATAAAAAGATGTGCCATATGTGGTTAAAGTCCGAAACGTGTAGTTGTGAGTCGTCATGAACCTGGCGATATCCGATTTAATAATCGATATTTGCCAGTGCACTTTCAGATCTATCTTGAATCCTCTGTGGGAATTGAGATTGAGGAAGAGACTCACGTAATTATAACCCATGTCACCTCGTGGGTAGAATCGCAGTGTCCACCCCACCTTATTATTCTCATTACGAAAAACCGGTGATTCGAGGTATTCTCCGATGTCTTGTGGGAGAAGACTGAAATTTTTTACTGTCCAATCGTATCCGATGCGTTCTGCTTTCACATGGGTGATGGCGTGTCCTTTATTAGAAACGGCTGTCAAGTTTTCGGATTTAATCAATTCAGCAGCTGATACCACTAACAGAAATGAAAAAAAGACGCGTTTTGATGACCTCATGCTGTTAATACACTTCCCCATTTAACGAGATCAGGATTTTTTTTTATTAGAAATGGGAACTATTGATTTATTATTGATTGATGATTGATCAGATGATTCACTTGAAATATTGATCACTGTCACTCGCGTTCACTCATTCATCTGATGCATCTGAAGAGATTTGAGGTTTTTTCAGGAAATTATCACTTATCATTTTCCTTATCCCCTCTGTAGGTCGTTATTTTTTCCAGAAAATCGCGATTGCACGCCGGGTTCAACATCATAATGATGATGGAACAGGAAAATCGGTTGCGGAAAAAGTGGATCTGGAAAGAACACACACAAGGTCGAAACATTTTGACGTACATGAACTTGTAGAAATTTATTAAAAGTTCAGTGAGACAATCATTTGAATTTTTAATTGCATGGGTTCGAGTTGAAATAAAGACATTATGAAATTGTTCATTTATCTTGAACATTCAAGAAAATTGGAAATTTCAATTGAAATCCCCAATGAGAAATCAATTGTAAAAATAGGGAAAATTTAACATGAAATACAACAAAAAAAATTGTTTTGCAGAAGATTAAATAATTTCAATTCGGAAGCAAAAATGGAAATTCTTTTTTCTATTTAGAATGATTACATATCCGAACTCTTATCGGTGATTGCACGGAATAATTCCAACGCCAATCTAGGATATTCTGCCTCTAGTCTTGCATATCCTCCCGAGTTCATCACAGCTGAAATATGATGACCGATGAATTTCACGATGTGTTCCTTCAATTTATTGGCGTGATAGAGATCTGTTAAAATCAATAAATCTGCGGCGTTATTTTCATTAAGCGCTCTATAAAGAACTAACTCGCACATTGTTTTCAATCGTGGTAATTCAAACTTATCGGCTGCTTCTAATAATCCATATGCCTGTGTTTCTAGATCCGTAACTTGGTCGGTGTAAAGAAACTCCAGCATTGCATTCACTAAAATCGGTTCGAAATCCTCGATAATCAGCTGATTGGTCTCATTTCCTACCAATTTTTCAGCTTCGAAATGAGCGGCGAAAACAGAACTGCGAATCCCTAGAATGACTTTGTGTGCATTGAATGATTCATTTGAAGCGATAACCACTAGATCACTGAATTTTGGTTCCTTGAATAGTTGATGGAAATGTTGGTTCAATCGGTGGCTCTCTAAATCACGTGTCAGTTCCTCCTCGAGGGGATCCATCACCTTGTAAGGTTTCGTGATAACCTGCTTTGGGAGTTTTATTTCAACTCGGATTGTAAATGTATCGTCAGGTTTGGCAATTCTAATCAATTTTGATCTCTCCATATCCTCAGAATAGCCCCATCCGATTAATTCATCAAATGTCCGCTGGTGAGTTCTTATATGATGGACAGTACCTCCTTTAAGAATTGACATTTCCCAGTAAGCTGTGACATTTACTTTGGAATATCGGTAAGAATGAAGACGGAGATAAAGAGCCACGTATCCAACTGATTTGTCACCTTGTGGGTATAATTGTATCCTCCATTGTGTTTCATTATTATGACCACAGAACACCGGCGATCTAATATCTTCATTATTTTTTTGCGGGAGGAAACTGAAATTTTCTATTGTCCAATCGTATTTTATATGTTCTATTTCCACATAAGTGACGCCTTTTCCTTCACTGGACAGATTAATACCTTCATCCGAAAGGACTGAATACTCAACTAATATCAAAGCAAAAACTGACAAAAATACCAATTTTGGCGGTGTCATGCTGCCAGAGAACTTGCCGGTTTCCCGCTATCGACCAGACTACTCTAAAATCACAAAAAAATCCTTATGCGTACATTATTTTTTATGTGAATATAATTTACTTACCGATTAAATTATTTTCCGAAGTATTGTGCAGGTTTTACTCGTGTCAGGTTTTTACGCACAGAATGACTTATTCCTTTTAAAAAACTATCATTTTATAACAGTCGCTCAATATGTTCAGTATCTACATTATCCCCACTACACCAGTTTATAATTATGTACACTTGACCTCAAGATAATGGGTAAATCGTGAAGTTTCTCAGAATTGATAAAAATATTTTATTTTTAGGTTTTCTCATATTGCAACTAATATCCAAATAAAATTACAATTGAAGTTAAACGAATAGGATAGCATAATAGGTCGATGCCAAGGCTTTGATTCAAAATAAATTTTTAAAAATCACTTTGTTTATTGTTTGTTTAGCAACAAAGTTGATAAAAAATATGTTATCAGGTGAAATACTTGGGTGCAGCTCCAGTAGGAGGTCGTGTCTCGAGTATTCGAGGTCTCCAGGAGCCGCTGCGCCAGCTCCTGGCGCGTCTGGACACAGCCATGTCCGCAGAACTGGAGATTTCCCGAAGAGGCTTGACTTTCCGCACTATCGAAAATTTCGAGAAGACCAACCCCTTCCGCAGAATCGCAGTCTGGAGTGCTCTGAAGTTGCGTTCCCGATCAAAGAGCCGTGAGAATCCCTTGGAGATCCAGCACGCCTTCCTTCCCCTGGTCGCCGACGACTCGTCCCCCCAGTCCGACGATAAATACTCAGATCTCTACAGAACTATGCGAGGTCTCGACTCAAATGTCGCAAAATATCCCCCAATCTTTGCAGTGATCATGAGACGTCCTGGGGCAGCTAGAGTCCTGGAATGTCACGCATTCGCTTGCAAAACCGAGGAAGATGCAGTGGCTGCAGCTGCGACCCTCTACCGAGCTCTTCTAACCGATCTTGACTCGAATCGTCGACGACCGAGACAATCCAACGGTCTGGGCTGTGCAAGTCTAGCATCAGTGGCATCAAGCTACATGGACCACTCAATCCTCAGTAAACTGGATTACAACATTCCACCACAATCATCCTCTCAGCCAATTCGTCCACCCAGGACCAAAAAACTGTCGACCTCTGGTTCAACCACCGACGGAGGCTCCTCCATCATCGAGACTAAAATCCCTAGGAGAAAGAAACTGTCTGAAATCAAACCAGAGGACATCCTCGAAGCCAGGAAACGAAGAAGTCTAGCTGAAGACTCTAGAAGTGTCTTGCAAGAGTTGAAAGACGACAGATCAGTAGTTTCAGTGACTAGCACCAACAGAAGCTCAAAGGGGCGAACTTCCAGGAATAGAAACGAAGAGATAAACAACATGAAGAACAAGTTGTACTCTGGGAATAATTTAATCGTGCGAACCAATGACGAGAATGTCATTTACTCCAGAAAAATCAACAGCTACGAGAAGACTCCGAGGAAACAGAAAACGTTTATGTCCGAGAGAAATTACTCGTTTGTTGAGAATAATGGGAGCATTGTTGGAGAAGTAGTGGTGACCACTGAGGCCCAGCTTTATGACAAGAACCGGGGCTCTTTTGATCTCGTAAAAAGCTCATCGATTTATTCTGGTGGTTCTGAACATCCTGGGAGTGATATTGGATCCAAGAGCTGCGACAATTCAATCTATGAGCGACCCGTTGAGAGGAAACGAAGCACCAGGGAGAAATCTTACGAAGAACATTTCAAAGATGCTGATAAAATATTCAGTATTGAGGAGATGCAATCGACCGGGAAGAAACATCAAGCGAGAGGTCAAGCTCCTCAGAGCAAAATTAATATGCCTAAAATCAGTAGTAAGGATCCGGATTTCAATGCTCGTGCTAGAAATGGAATGCAGAATGGAGGGAGTCATTGTGAGAGTAAGAGGAGTCAGAATGAGAGGAGTTCGAGGATCGATGAGTTCGCCAGGGGTCAGGGCACTTGCGATGAGAAAATCAAGAGCAATTGCGGACATGCCAGGGAACGGAAGAAAAGAAACAGGGCTGGGAGTGAACCACCCTTGAGCAGGACTGAGGATGCCAGTAAGAAATTAGAGATGAAGCTAAAGAGGTCGCAGAGCGATCTCGAGGAGAGGGGAGATCTCATGACCAGGGTGGAATTACCTAGGAGGAGTAGCTTTCTTAAACCAGGAGCTCCCAGATTGCCTAATAATGTTAATGGAGGGACTCCACTTGGTTTTACTGAATTATTCGATGAATTTAGGAATCAGGAGGGACTCACTAGTGTTGATGATATTTTAGCTACGATTATAGGTGAGTTTTTTTGTAATCGACTTTGTGATTTAATTGATTGGGAATGCGCATACAAAAAAATTATATGGAAATTCTAGACGAAATTTATCGGTTTGTAGGATTTATAACGGAATTTTGGGAAATAGTTAAGTAATTAATATCGTATTAATTTTTCCAAGGAAATTAGTGATTGATTAACTTGCGTGAATTTCTTTCTGTTCAGATCCTGAGGGAATGTCCTTTAATGAGCTCAAACCCCTCTACAAAGAATTCCTTCTGAAACTGGCATCGACATTAACCCAAGACGAACTGTATCAACGTTCAGCGAACATAATGAAACGCCGGAGAAGACCCTCCCGAAGACGATCGATGAGAAAACCCTGTCTCCTGGGGCGGGCAATTAAGAGATCCGTATCGAAAATCAAGACTGGTCCAACCGAGTTCACTTCTGTGATTTTCCCAGCGAGAAAATTCAATGAAAGTTTCGACAGCAGTTCTTCCTGCGATGCGAGGAATAATAGGAGAGTGTTGGCCAGTCGGTTGAGCAGGAGGAGATCCTCCTGGAAGAGGGCAAAGGGATTGACTACTTCAGAAGACAGTGACACAGGTGAAGACCTCTTTTAAGTTCAAATGTTTAATGTGACTAAAATTATGCAGAAAATATATATATCATTATAATTTTAACATTATTATTACAAATTTATATTTTAATTAGTTATTTTTTTTTCTATTTTACAAAAAAAAATATTGTATTCGTTATTATACATTTTTGAAAAATTTAGAAATCATACAAAAAAATTATAGCACGATCATGATATTTTGGAAATGATTGAAGAATTATAAAATGTGAAAGTGGTATATTTTTCGAATCAATCCGATTCGAATATTCGTCAGAAAACTTATTAGACTTGAATTAGACATTTTTGATTGAACTTAAACAATTTCAGGTCGACGTGTAGGTCGAAGTACTGGGGCAGGGGCTAATCGGAGTAGCAGTGGTTACGTAAGCTGCAGTGAATGCAGCTACGACTCTGAATCTTGCACCTGCATATCAGCAGACAAATGTTACTGTTCATTACCCAGAAGATCACCACCCCAGAGTTCAAGTAACAATGCAATTGTTTGTGGTTGCGACACCGACAGCTGCTCAGAAAGCAACAAGTGTTACTGCGCTCGACGTACAGTTCAGCCCAGTATTATGGAGCAATTGAGACAACGTGGGATTGTTCCATCAGAGGGTACATTGTCAAGAGGTGGAAGTCCCGAGAGGAACAAAGTAGCAAAGTCCTCCAAGGGTCAAACATCATCCAGAAGTCTCGATTACACGAACGTAAGAGAAAATTTATTTCTAATTCTCTTCCGCTACTGAAAAAATATTAAAGTAAAGTAACCAAGTTAAATCAAACGGATTTCTAATCAAAATGTCTTCCTAAATCCAATGGCTCGTTCCTATTGGTCGATATTCTGGCAGGAGAAATAATCATATTTTGAAAAAGAAAAAAAAAAATTTTAAATCGATCAACATTTATAAAAAAATTGAAGTCATCTAATGATGTGTATAATATAGGAAACAATTGGCGATACGATCGAAGGGTTTGAACTTGATTAGCGCATGAGTCATCGTGCTAACGAAGTGAAGAACCTTAGTTTAATAAAAATATTTACCCAGATGTTCTTTGTAAACATCATCAACTGGACTTATCTGAATTGCTGAATCATCGAACATTGCAGAGGATTGATAATTATGTGATGATGTAACCATTTCCCGAATTATTGATATTTACAATCAACACTGAAGATAACGGACAATTTACCACAGTTTCTCCTAAGAATTTTACAATTGTTTAATGATCCAGGAAACCATAATCTGAGGACTAATTCCGAAAAAACCGCAACATTAAAGCTATTAATTTTCCCTTGAAATTCAATTGAAAATTGTTTGAAATTCTCTAAAATTTTCACCGGTCCTGCAAAATTAATAATAACGCGAAATGAATGAAAATAATAAAAATAATTCGACTTTTCTTAATTTTTGTTTTTTTCGAAATAAAGAGAGAGTATTAAACGGTCATCAATTGACGATTAGTGTTTATCTGTAATAAAAACCATGAATTGACAATTAGTTTTAGTTTGTAATGAAAGATTGAATGAGATCGTTCCATCGTGTTTGTCACTCCCTCCCCATTACTTGAGAGATAAATTTCTAAATAATTTCAGAGGCTAATTGCATAGACTTCCAATGATTTCGACAATGTCCATTTTCTCTTCAGATCATCATTACATATTCGTCACTGTAATATAGTCCGATTTCTTCTTCTAGATGAGACCATCGCCAGGCAGGAGCAGCTCTGACAATTTGGCATTGGATTACGAGCTCTTCAGCCCTGGAAAAAAGTCCCAGTGCTCTGCAGGTAGTGAAAAAGTACTCGTCGTGAGTGCCAGAGATCCTCAGGGACGATTGGTGTACGTCGGTGGGGCTGAGAGGAAGAAGAAATCTTCGGTCAGTGGAGCTCACAGGACTGGAGCTCATCATGAGGCTTTGTCCATTAAAAAAAGTGCTGAAATCGCTGCAGTTTTTGGGGGCTCTGCTGCCAGAAGCTGCAGAAGGGCCGGCAGTTTCTCCAGCATGCGAAGCTCCATCAGCTTAGAAGCTGGACTGGGATATTTACCCTAATCGACTTATGCATCACCATTATTATCATTTTCCAGTGACAAACACGTGAGGAGATAATGATTTCACGAAAACCTAGAGGGTAAAGAGGCAAACTGAATTTTTAATCAATGTCACGTTCTCGGCGTAACTCCATACAACAGCTTATTCCAGAGTTATGAATATTTTTTAATGTCTAAAATATCCAGTTTGCACCATTTTCCTCTACCGATTACGTTACAAATATTTTTGGAGAAAAGTACCTGCAAACGTAAGATTAGTGTTTCGACTAAAGTTTGTGGCTAAATATACGGAGAGTAACATATTCAAAAAAGTACGTGAGAAGTTCCGCAAAGAGTAGTGTTTGGAATGTAAACTCGGGGCGAACGGCGAAATAGGAAAAGATAGTGCACGGGTACGAAAATTTGTGAATCAATTCCGTAAAATTTACTGTACCGTTTTCCTTATCCAAACGAAATTTTTTTGACGATTTTAGATAAAAATAAATTACATCATTGTTCAACCCAGGATTACGTGACTAATCACGTACTTTTTCCGGTATGTTCCTGTCCGTGCACTTTATTCCGTTAGTTTTTAGAGCTTTTTCCGATTGATTTTTAATATTAGCGTGAGATTTCCAAAAACTCTGACGATTTCGAACGATTATGAAATCACGATTATGATTTTGAAACTACGATAGACCTGACATCTCTAATGAATTCTTTTACAATTGAGGGGCAGTGCAATATTGACTACGTAAGGATTAGTATTTACTGTTATTTGCATTCGCTGTATTCGGAATTAGAATGTACGGATTATAAAATGACGAGTGAGTTAATGAATTATTTTTTGTCATATTTATTTCAAATTAAAAATTAATCATCTCGAAGAAAATCTTCATCCATTTTTTTAAATTTATCAGTGTATTCTTCAGGTACATCCACGAGCTTCAAATTCTCCAGCCCTATCTCGTTTTCAGTTCTGTAAAGTAAAAGAAACAAATTTACTGGAAAATTCTTCGATATTTTTACATAAGCATTGTTTTGTTACTCACCTAATTAAAATGTCAATAACATTTTCACAAGCTAAAAGGGCAGCTTTATCCTTCTCCCATTTATGGTATTCCCGCAATATCACATACGCATTCTTCGCTCTTATAAATTCACGAGCCTCTCGTGTTGCGCACAATTGACAAAGAGCTTCCAAAATCATTATTCTGAAAAAAAAAACATGAAAAATTATTTCAATCAAGATAAAAATAAATCCCTCTCCATTCGCAGGAATGGAAAAATTAATACCTGATATCAGGATCACTTTCTCGTGATTTAGTTTCCGACAAAAACTGCAGATCTAGGGGCAACTTTTCATTGTCTTCATCGTCAAACTCCTCAGGCCCAGCCAGAGGCAACAATAAATGTGGTAAGACATCTACATCCTCACTCAAGAGCCAAGAATGATTCTCATGGTCGAAGCAACAATTTTTTATCGTTCCAACTACTCCCCCACGTCTCACGACGCTGTCTTGGTATTCTGTGAAAGGCAAGAGCTTCTGGATGATCGGATTATCCCTATCCATTAATCGTCTGTAATTAAAGTCGTAAAATGAATCATTATATTAAGCAATAAAGTGAAAGCCGAGTATTTCTTCCAGATAAAATTGCAATGGGATAAAAAAATTACAATTTTCATAAAATGTTCCTTACACAATTAAATTATAAATATTGTTGATAAATATTTCTAAATATATATATATCAGTCCACAGATTATTTAATGACTTCGATAATCTCCACGAACCTTCTGACTGTCTCTGATTGACTGAGATTGCTCAGAACTGGTCCTAGATAATGTAAACTCGCTCCTTTGGTATTGTAACTCTTGGCAAATACAAATGCATGAACTATTTTGTCCCAGCTGTAATTGGCCTTCTCCATCTGTGCAACGATTCGATCCACGTGGCTCGCAGGTCTCGTTATGTTCGACAGAATCATACAGCAAGGATCCGCGAGTGAGTTCTCTTTATCTAAAATGAAACTGCAATCGAGGAGAAATTAAATTGGCCATTTAGACAAAGAAATACAATCGTCAAGAATGAATTAATCTTCCTGATGTCAGAATTCTTGTGAGTCGTTTTTTCTTCTGAATTTTTTACCTGATGCACACGTGAATGAGGTCATCGGTAGGACTTTCATTAGGTTCCATTTTCGAGGTCTCAGATATGAGTAGCAGCGCCTTTGCTCCACTCTCGTCTCCGGAGATATTAACCAGAGCCAATGTAGCATCTTTGGAAATTGTTATTCGTGATTTATCGAGCTGGATGAGTAGTATCAGCTGACGTAGCACGTCAGGACAGCTCAGGATCAAATCTCTCCCTTCAGGGGTTCCAGTTAAAGCTGAAATCGATACGGATTAATTAATAATAATTAATAATGATTGATAAGTCAGGTAAGACAGTTTAATTAATTATTCACATAGTTTACATGTGAGTGATGTCAGACGTAGAAATTAAATTTAAAATTAAAGTTAGAGAAATGTACCCCTCTTTTTACGGAAATCCCTTCCTTTTAATCAAAAGTATTATTCATTATGAAAAAATTCAAAAACAAAAATTTATTAAAATTCCAAGAAAAATCAACAAATTTTCAGCTAAAACTGTAAATTATACAATTTCAAAATAGGAATAATTCCATCTGAGATGCTATCTGAAATAAAAATAAAATTTAAAAATGGTCTCTTTGCCTCCAAAACCTGATCCCGAGCGCATGCCGATGAGTTCTCCTCCGAAGCTACCAGAAGGAAATAAAAAAACTCGTCAAAACCCACCCAAAACATGCTGCACAGCAATGGCCTGGAGATCAAGTCTAGCCTCAACCCCCAGAAATCGTAGAATCTCCTCCAGAGCTTGCATCCTCTCATCAGCACCCCCTGATCCAAAAACACTGGCTCCTAACCAACTCGATCAACCACATGTTAAAAAAAAAAAGTCCTCAACTCGATAACAACCGTCACCACTGCTCCCAGCAGAGCCAATGAGGAGCTCTGTATCCCGCAACGACATCCGGAAGAGGAGCTCTCGGATTGGTCCCCGGAGCCACTGGCGTAGACACACCAAAAACCCGTCCGGTCGAGTCCATTCCAAAAAGGGGGGGTGTAACGACGAAAAAAAATCAACGAAAAATGGAATCAACAAGAAATCTAAACGAAAAAAAAATTCTTCCACGTATCACAGGAATCACAGAGATGAGTAAATAAATTCGGATAAATTTAAACAAATGGATGAATGAGGCTTAATAAACTGGGGTGGCTGTGGTGTCGATAAAATCGAGTTAAACCCGAATGAAAGTCTCGTTGTTGTGACGTTGCAATCGTAGTGGCGCGTGAGGTTTGCTGTTAACCCAACACCACATGACGATGCAAACCCCCCCTGAGCAACTGAATTTGGCCTCGCCCCCTTTCCATCCACGACCCAACAGCAGTTCACAATCGGTCACCTGCATGTACGGCTCACTATTTTTCCTCGTAAGATGTGTCAAGATTCATCGTACAACATAGATATCAACAATAAATGTGAAAAATTGTGCAAAAATATTGGTTATACGTGTAAAGACACTCAAGAAGAGATTAAAGTGAGGTTCAAAAGGTTATCATCAGGTAAGAATTTGCAAATATTACATTTTTTACAACATTCAGGAGAGATTTTGCGTGAGTTATTCTGAGAATTACGCGGTGGGAGGCGGGGATTTGAAAATATTTTATTTCTTTCATTTTGGGAAATTATTTGAATGAATTTCGAGGGAAACGGAATAGGCGAGTGGATGATGAAAATTTCGTGGCAGAAACGTACGTTAACGTTTGGCGGGGTACGGGGGACAAGTTTTTGGGAATTTTTTGGGGGTTTTTCGAGAATTGTTCGGCTTTCGGGGAGAAATAGGGAACATAGTGTCAAAAGGGATTGGAGTATGGGTACAAGCAAAACCGGTCGTTGTGGGGCTTCTTCGCGTCGTTTGGCTCTCCTTAGCGACGACGCTTTTGAGTCCTTTACTAAACACCAGTTCATATTCATTATTCTCGCAATACGTTCAAAATTCACCAATTTTTCATCTTTCTCTCTGATCGATTATTTGAACATGTCAAGTTGCTCCTTCCCCCCAAGACCAGCCAATCATTCCGATAAATCAAGATTGTTACTTTGATTTATCTGCATAAAGTTCTACATTACTGAATAAAACAGTTAATTCACGTTTTTTTTTTATCTGTAATATTTTTTCTTGACTGGAGAATTATTTCTGGGGAGATTATTCCATGTTTTATTTTTTGGGTAATAAGTTAATTTTGAGTGGGAGGTTTGATTAATGTAATAAGTACAATATTCATTTGAATATTTAAAGTTTTTTTATTTTGACGAGAAAAGGTATTCTGGTATGGTGGCTGCATCGTGTCGGATGATTCATCCAGTTTGCGCGGGACTAAAAATATGATATAAACATGGATACACCGTTTGTCAGATGTAATTCTTCGAAGTAATCTCGAGTTTTAATAGTAGCTTATGGATCTATTCACTGTCTCAAAGTTTGCATTAACACATCTAAATAAAAGATCACTCACTCTCGTTATGGTAATTGAATGGTGGTATTGATGGGGTGCAGCAACACGTGACAGTGTAAACAATGATTATTTTTTTTTCGTTTGCGATAGGAAATGGAGTAGCCATGACTCTCGTTTGAATATTTCAATTCTTGAATATGACTGGGGAAACTGAGTGTGAGGGAAATACGTGAATGATAAAGAAAAATAGCTTGAGATAACGGGGGACATATATGTGGTAGAGAAAACAGTACGGTTAAGTAAATAGATGATTTTATCACGCTAAAACAATGGAGAGTGTGGTTAATAATTTTGGCGCGTCCAGTAGATTATTTTTATAATGATTAATTAGTGATGGATTCTTCTTATTTTTATGGCCTGATCAAAGATCATGTGACAAGCTGGAATGATTTGGTGGTATTGAGGTTAGAATTCTGCGGTCTTATGTAAAGAAAAACTGATCAACACGTGTAGATTTTGAAATACTATTTTGCGAATATTTCAATTTTATATTTCAATTGAGTCAGTAATCAATGAAATTTTACAGTATGTAAACAATGATGAAATCGTCGGATTTAATTGTTTATAATTTCTTCGGAATGTGCACACTGCAATAGAATTTGATTGTTTTAAAAATTAAACTCAAGAGCTCCCAGAATTCCCAGTTTTTTTTTAATATTTAGAGAAATGAACTTGCAAGTTTCTATGATCTTTTCAGAATATATTCCATATAATTATTCAATTTATTTTATTCTTTCAATTTATTGAATTCTTCATCAATTTTCACTTACTTCATTCTAATCCAATCTACATTGGCATTAATTGGATGAGAAATAAATAAATCGTGTAAAGAGTTAAAAATGATGATTATCCGATACAAGCAATAAAAATCCAATTACTGGGACAATATCTCTGACCATCGCCTCCAGAAATTTCCAATAGAACAGTTCTATTAATACTTTCGATATCAAGACAGTATTTTTTTTGCCAATCGCGGGTTCATTCTCTAGATAACGAGAAAGAGGAAATTAATTAAAAACTGAAAGAAGTGGTGCAGAATCTAACCAGCAAAGTACCCAAACCGATTCATTACAACCGACAAGAATTCACAATAACTGAATGCATTTCATGAAATTAATAAGACTGATTACTTGATTATCAAGAATAATCATAAATCACTAGAATCAGAATTTAAAGAATGAGGCGAATTACCAAGAAGAAGTCCTCTGACCTCATGGTGAAAATATTTAATAATCAATTAGCCAAACGAGAATTGAAAAATTGACGAGAAAAACGTGAAAAGCTGCAACGATCAATACCAGAGTGTAACTTATTTTTACAATATATAATTTACTCTCAGTACGTTCTTCAGAGCCAATTCCGATTTTACCATCACTTCAACTGAATATCTCATGTAACAACAATCAGTTTCCACCAAAAGTACAATTGAAAGTCACCAAAAAACTGCTAAAACTCGTCTCGACTCTGACATATTAAAAAATCAAAACGAAATCGCTAAAAAGCCTGCCATTTTGTCATAAGTTTAAATCCTATTAATGTAAAAGGTCCCCTTTCACCTGCTGATAGTATACACACACGTTTTAACTGCAGGTAGAAGATTCAGAAGAAGTCAGGCGAGACATACGGTCCAACAAATTTTTTTTTATTCAAGTCTGAACCCATTGGTAGGTGTCCCAGGATCAGTTCCGCTTTCACCCGCACTTGGAACATGAAAAAAAAAGTAATGATTAACATTCATGTATTGCTGGGTGTTGTGGAGGATTGGTGAGGATATTGGGGGTAATTTTTTAAAAATGAATGGTGATGGTACTTGATACTTCATACCAGACCAGTGACATTGGTGCACCGAAACAATTCACTTGCCATCCTCGTTCACTCGGCTCGATCGACCGCACAACCCGCCCAGTCTAGTCCCCAATCACTGCGATGACTCCGATCCCTCCGATCTTGGCGTTATTGGTCGATTTCACCAGTGAAACACTCCCCACAAGACTATTTTCAACATTTAAAAAGTACCAAAAACCACCGTATCATGCGCCTCCGTCGATTACCCCCTCTTTCTACCCACTTTGACGTTTTACCGGCTGATAGACGGAATGTCCAACGCAAATGAAAGGAAAATAAAACATTCCGACGAATAAATAGAACTTGGAAGAGGAAACAATTACTTCTTTTTTCTTTTATTGAAAGGCGAATGAAGGGGTTAGATGGTGGGAAGTTGATGCAAGTTGTGGAAGGATCGATGAATTTTTGAGCATTGGAAAGTCAGTGAAATGCACTACTCGCAATCTTCTCGGTTAAATCGATGGCTAACCGATTTATTCGGAAAAAGTGTCATTGGGAAAAATTCTGGATAAAATATCAAGTGCATGAAGGGAGAAAGCTGTGGATGAATTTCGAAGATTATCTCAATGATCTCAATGATGATCTTTAGGTTTATTGGTTTTTATTGAATATAGAAAATCATTCTACATCGCGAGTGGAGATAAAGATTCAATTCTCAATTATTTCATACGATTGAAATTAAAATTGAACTCGATTCGAATGTCCGGAGCTGTCAGAGCTGTCAAAGAAATTAAAAACTCGAGAGGCGAAAAATTAAATTGGCAGAATTTAGCTCGTAAAAATAATAAATGTCTCCCGCTGATGAATTTCCAAAACTGAACTCCAGCCGAATAAAGGAGGAATCACCCACAGAAAGAACGAAATCAAGTTTTGTAGCATACGTAGTGGCTTCGTCCGTCGTTTCGGCGGGATCCCCACAGAGTCTCAAAAAGAATAAAAAGGAATAAATAAAAATGAACGCATAGAAGAAAAAAAAAAGAGGAAAGAGCGCGAAAGGGGAAGGAGTAGGAGAAAAAGAGAGAGGTAAAGGGATAGAACGAGAGGATAACCGAGGAGTCTCCGTAAATAACCGAAGTGCGAGCCAATGAGAGCTCGTCTCTCTGGCTTCTCCACCAATCACACAGCCCGACAGATGCGCAATTTGCCAATCCCACGTCCCCGAACATCACTACTACCAAACGTGTCGTATTTTCGTATTAGAACGAAATCCAACCATCTTTAATTCCTTCATCTTCTTTTTTCTCTCGAAAAACCAGCCTCGAAAAAATAATTCCTCCAATTTCCTCGAACACCCGAACACACCCTGTACCACCAAGTACCGCCAGAAATCACAAATCACCACTTTTCATCGGGGATAATCGAAGAAAATCGGCAATTTATTAGTGAAGCAACTTGATAAACGTGGTTTTGCGCAGTTTCCATGACCCAGATTGAAACGAATGGGGAGTTTGCTCGGCGCACGGAACAGCTGTTGGGCCGCGCGAACATGTCGACCACGGATAAAATGGCTTGGTTATTTCGTTGGAAACATGCGCGCGCCACTTGGCGGCTTCGTCGCCACTATTTTTCAGGGACGTACGTAACAATTTCCATTATTTTCACAAAAATCACAAGGAGGGGGATAACAGTGGCGGGGCAGGGAGGATTATACAGCTGAGTTACAGCCTCAAAACATTCGCACTCCCAACCTCTACAGTCACTATTAAAAACCCCCCATCATCCACTCCCTCGAAATTCACAAAATTGGCAAATTCCACTCATCCCCAAAAATCCTTAAAATTCCTCAAAAATTACCAAAAACCCTCAAAAATCCATTTACCTTTTTTTTTTGAATTTTCGAATTTTCGACTCCAGGGGTCACTAACCTCTGACAGGTGTTCCTCGAGTCCCATCCCTCGAAGTGTCTCTGTAATTAGATGAAAATTATAATTGACAATATTTTTGAGGGTAGATGTGAATTTTGACTGGGCATTGAGATTGTTTTATCGATAAGTTGTGTTGAAAAATGTCTTGTGATTTGTTGGTGGTACCCGGTGGCCCCTGTTTCGGCGTCCCTAGTTACGTTACTGTCTTGCTCAAGTAAAATCCCCCACTTACTCACCGCGCCGTCTCGCTATACGACCAGTCAGTTCCTTGTTTGCCATACAAAATCCAATAGTTTGCCTTGGGTAGCCCCCGTGAGTTCGTGTACTCCGTCGAAGTGCGTTTCAACCGTCCCTTTCAAATAAAAAAAAAACCACAAAAATTATTTGAACGATCCATCTGAACCGGATAATCCATCGTGATTGGGGTACTGCGTGTTGATAAATCCATCGAAGATGCGTGAAAAAATAATAGTGATACGGTGGTATAAAGCTTATGTGCGTGCCGTGAGGCAAAAGTGCAAGGGAGCATAGTAGTTGTTTCCTGTTGTATGCGGCTGGACCGGCCTGTCGTCGGTCAATTCCTCTCATTTTTCATCAATATTCTCATGCTAAAAGTTCATGTGATGAGCCCTCGGAGAACCGCGTAAACTTGAAACTCTGGGGAGAGGAAAGGGAAAAAAAATAGAGGGAGAGAGAGAGAAGAAAGGCATCATCGTGTTGGGGACTGGCGTGGATTCTTTTGCTACGTGGTGGAAGATATAGAACGTTAAATAAAGAATAAAAACAGCGGTGAATGATACAGTGAATGAGGGAGGGGAGGTGAGGATCTTCAAACTCTTCCCTATTTATTTTTATTTATTTATTATTCGTCGTGTGAAAGTTGGTGTGAGATGAATTTTTGAGCTTTCCATTTGGAGGGGTTTTTTTTTTTAAATCTTTGTTGTTTTTTGAGGGGGTTTTTGTGTGCGTGGGAGTGAGATTTTTGTCGTGACGAGGGTACATCTCACCCAGGAGGCCAAAGAGGAGAGACTAAAGTAGAGGCTCAAACCTCCGGGTTTGGCCGATTCCGGGGTGGAAATAGTTTGATACTATCCGAACGATGGCGCTACCTTCGGTTTTTAGATATAACATGTGCCGGTAACTCTGTAATTGCCGGGATCGTCTGGAGGGGAACCTTTGTTCTCTCTTGTTATAATATTCGGTGAAAAGCGGTAAAGGGAGTTACGTTGAAAAATGTGAATTTTATACTAGGTGCAAGTGAAAAAAAAATTTTTTTTGATGAGTGTGAGAAGTATAAACTGAGTCGAAGGCCAGGTTCTAATGACACTAGTCAGAAAATACTTTTTTCACATGCCTTTTTTGCAGTTGTATTATAAAGTAGCTTTTAATGAATTGGGACTGTAGGTCGCACCAGGCATAGGCTGCAATCGCATTTCTCATTTTTTGTTTTCATATTTATTGCACAAAATTTAATCAGATTATTGGGGAGAAAATGCAGTTCCCTGCGGGCCGAAGTGTACATCATATCTCACTTGTATCATGAAATTATAATGATCATAGTTTGAGAAAGTTGATCAGAATCAGTCGAGGGGTTTGGCCACCATTAAGGGTTTTTAATATTTTTATTAATCACAACTTTTGTGAACCATATGTGATTAATTCTCATCCCCTTGACTCTAAATTTTTAAACCACTAGAAGAGCCAAAAAGATCTTTTGATTTTGGAGACAAAATTATTTTTAAAAAGAGCCAAGTCGACATGGCTTCTTGTTTTATTCAATAGCTTCGGAATTGTGTCCACACGACTATTTTAAAGTGGATGTAAAAAAGTAAGATCTAACCCCTTTTATTTTATCGCAAAAAAAATAAAATAAATTCGTAGGCTTGAATCATCTCGTTTATAGATGCATCGTGGCATCAGGAATTGATTCCAATGATGAACTCATTTTCAAAAAAAAATCACGTAACCTCCTTCCCCGCTTCCCCACTGATATTGTATGATACCCCACTGATATGTAGTTTCGCCCTATTTTATAACTGAAATCACACGTAAATATAATTTTTTTAGAATCCAGTGATAACGCGATTATTTGTGTATTAAAGTGATAAAGGTTAACAAGTGGACTAGTTCCCTACTTGTATTTTCAACAAATAATTCTGAATCTAAGACAGATAGCCAAATTTTTTCACACCCTTTTCGTATCTCTCATTGCACTTCATAAATCCTGAAAAAAAATCATTCTCTTACATTAAAAGATGTTTTTTTAAAATTCGTCCAAGAAATAAGTTGATCGATTAGATTTTACTTCTTACTGATTTTTAAAAATAGAAAAAAGAGATCTCCATCAATTTTAAATAATGACTACAGGAAAAACTAATCACATAGGAAACACAAAGTGTAACACATCATCATTAATATATTTCAATTACTTCCCCATTATACCCAACAATCATTAAAAGATTACTTTTCAATAATAGACTCACAAATCCCATTTTAATAACCTCCCCTCCACTAATGAACATAATTGAACAATCATATTAAGACACATGACACATCTCATTTGATATTCCCATCCCAAATCTTATCCCTCTTTCGCATTTCGCCAAAAAACTTTACTTTATTCAATATTGACGACCCGATCTTAGTTTATAATTGAAACATAATTTACGTGTCAAATCAGCTGATAAATGGGAAAAACATTGTGAACAAGAAATTTTCGCAGTGTCAGGGTAATTTCCGCAGAATTATTACCGGCTCTCCTTGATCGGAAAAACGAATGTGGCGCCCTCACACTGACGAGCTCATACTACCCTGAGCTGAATATCACGGAAACCCAGAGATCTGATTCTCTGCTTGAGTTCATCCTCTCTGCCTCCCGGTATTCGATTGTGATTACAAGGGTTCAAGTCTGATTGGTGTTTTTTCATCGAAATTTCGTGATTTCTTCACGATTTCTTCGATTTACTTAAATCACTCGCTGTTTACCCACCGCAATTTTTCATTGAAAATTTACGTGTTGAGAGTGTGACGCGATCAAGTGTTATGTATTTACTGAGGAATATATTGCGTAACGGAGAGCGCCGGAAAATGCGAGATTGTGTGCGACAATTTGCTACGTATTTATGATTTTTAGTGATAATTTGAGGGTGTTGTGAGGGGTGAGAGTTGGAGGGGATTTTGGAGGGTTTTTTTTGCAATGGTTTTGGTAGGGATTGGGAGGGGTTTGAGGGGAAAAATACCTCACGCGTCCCTCCGCGCGCAGAAAACACCAATACCAGTGCCAAGTCGAAAGACTGTGAGTGTATATGGGGGTCCCGCTCAATGGCTGGTAACGAGTAATGTGTGTATATGTATGGATGCATATGTATATTTATATGTATGTATTTTGCCGGGGAAGGGGGTGGAGGTGCCTCCGAGGCCGATGCTTTTGCCGGCAAACTTTGCTCTTACGTTTTGAGGGAACGCGCATTTATTCGCGTGTCTTAGGGCCTATTCTTCAGACTTTTTTACACCTAGAGTTCGTTCTTACTCCTTTTTTCAATCGGAATAAATTTTTCCGTTTTCGTTAACGAAGGCTACTTCCGTTCACTAATTACTTTTGTTGACGAATTGCGAGGGAGATTGCCATGTGAATACTAATCAAAAGAATTCTTAGAGAAACTTCCGTGTGATATTGGATATTTATCAATATATTTATATCATGTGCGAAAATTGAAATGATGAATTTTTTGCGATTCGCCCAAATTAATTTTTTTTATCCGGTTCTCTCGATATAAACGAAAAACCAAAACTATTCGGTAATAAACAGTAGAAAACGAAAAATATCAGTAAATTAAAGTGGAAAGAAAAAATTGAATTAAATTGGTTAATATTGCAGTGTATTCTTCAAAAGAAAAAAAATCATTTCGGAATAATTCTTACATCGAATATTGCACGCGTAGTAAAAATGCTGCCAACAAAGTATTGTTTACGAAATTCTTCAAATTAAGGGAAAAACAGTTGACGTGTTTGTTGCGGGGATCACTGATGTTGGTTTACTTACAATTAGTCATTTAAATCCACAACTTCCTTGCCGAATGGAAAGCACCGAGTGACTGAAGTATTAGTCATCAGAAAATCCTGCATTAGCTTTGTATGTTTGCACCGTTCGACACTGTCTCTCTCCAAAAGCAACCGAAACAATTAAATTGCCCTAATATTCCACGTCAGCCCAGGAAAAATTGTCTGAGAAAAAGAGGGAGAAAGATTGAAAATTAAATTTTCTTTGAATGTATAATTTTATCAACTTCACGTATTTAAAATAAAGTTGAATATTGTATGTTTCAGGGCCGGTTGATTCATCTCGCAGTACCTTCATCTGATAGGTGAGTTTCCAGTCTCCATTCACCCTCAAAAGAAATTGTAAAATTAAATAAGTAAATTGATTAATTGAGCTGAATATCAGTTGAAAAAAAAAGTAACTCACTGTCCAACGGGAAAATAGATGATTTTAAAAACGAAAAATCTGGCAACGTACGTAAGATTTTAGAAAAAACAAAAACAAACTAAAAATATCGATGTTATATGGTTGCAGAATTTCCAATGTAATTTGAAATGAAACGAGTTCGAGGGGTGGACGAGGTAACAACGCCAATAGGAGTAACACAGAAGTATTCGGGAAGTGTCAGTGGAGGTGGAGTAAACAGTGGTAATAATTTGGAGTATCATACTAGTGGAATTGTGAGTGGAGTTACGTCTGGTCAATCAGTGAGGCCATTAACGTCCAAAGAAATGCCTGGCAGTATACAGTTTGGGACTACCCAAACCCAGCAGCAATATGCTGGCATTGTGGTGCCAGCGGCTGCCCCATCGCCTGTCAAGGTAAATAGCCTCATCTCTACTACACCTTCACCTAAATTAGTTTTCCAAAGTTATAGTGAATAATTTAATAATATGTCGCCAAGTTAAAATTTGAGAAAAAAAATAATGCAGAGTTCATGAGTTCGATGGGATGATCAGGATTATCTCTGCTCTATGGAAAACATGAAGTACATAACTTTCTAGGGTGCAGTGAGTGGTAATCATGGTACAACGTGCAGCAGCAGCAATGTGAGCACTGGATTGCACGTTAGTACTGGTCTAGGTGTTGTACCACAACAGCCTATACCAGGATCACATGTACAGTCATCACATTTGCAGCAGCCAATGTTGAGGCACAAGGTATGATGGCATTGTACTCATGAGCTCTGGCATGTTTTTTTGTTTCCCAGTGGAAATAGTGCTATCGTTCAAATTTAAGTTTACAATTTTCTGCATTGGGATAAGTCAATGTGGTACTAAAATTTTGAATTTGAGATTGCTAGCTGGTATCAATTTGTACGTAGTCTTTCTTTCTTAATTGTTTCAATTTTTTTCTTTATTTCACGAAATGTTTGGAATTTGGACATTTTTTTTCGTTGAACATAGACTTCGTTGAAGTCCATTCATTGACTCTACGCAGAACTCGATTTATCCTAGGCCTTTGGAAATATTAATACTTTTGAAAATCAATAATAAAATAAATTCAGTTAGGATTCCGGCTAACCATTACAATTCTCTATTGATGAAGTTGTGCTGAAAATAGTATAATCAATTATCTAATTAAGTGATCGCATAATTAAGGCCTCCTTCTTCTGACCATTGATTTCAATGAGTTATGTATTGAAAAGTGAATCAATAGTAATAAAAGATTAGTAAAAAATGAAAAAATCAAAACGCCAATTAAAAATTCATCCAATCCAAAGGAAACTGCTAATTAAATAATAACTTCAGCTATATTAAGTCAATAACAATAATACCATTATAAACTTGTCCTTTTCATTAGCAGAAAACTTGCTTTGTGATTATTTTGAGATAATCAATTTCTATAATAGAATGCTCGTGCAATTGTATCGAAAACGTTAGCTAACAAAAATGCCCACAATTTTCCCATCAATTAGATAATTCCGTAATTGAAGAGAAATGCGTCAATTGAATTCAAGGAAAGTTTAAAATAGATTCGAAGATTATTCCATGAATATCTCTTAGTGTCCCGAAGCGAAACAAAAAGAGAAAATCCATGGTATATCATAAACTCGATGAATTCAATTGAGCGAGAAGTTTAGTTTCAACAGCTTGTGTTAATCCTCACTAATGAAGGAAATTGAACGAGATGATTTTTTTTTCTGTTTTCAGGTGCATTCAAATGCAACAGCCCCATTACCCCCAACGCCCCCAGCGAATCTGAGTACCACTAGTGGTTCTCAGCAACAATTTCAAAGGCTAAAAGTTGAGGATGCCTTGTCGTACCTTGACCAAGTTAAATTCAAGTTCAACGATCAGCCCCAAGTGTACAATGACTTTCTCGACATTATGAAAGAATTCAAATCCCAGAGTATAGATACACCAGGTGTGATAACACGTGTTAGTAATTTGTTCAAGGGGCATCCTGAATTGATCGTTGGTTTTAATACATTTTTACCACCCGGTTATAAGATTGAAGTCCAGGTTAATCCACTTCAATCTCATAAATGCAGGCCACCCGGTTATAAAATTGAAGTGCAAGCCAATGAGCAGGGTTATGCATTTCAAGTGTCAGTGAGTATGCCAAGTCCAACGGCAACCCATACAGCAACAATAGCCCAGCATCATTGTCCAGTCAATGTTGGCTCACCACCAGTCGCATCACCACCAAGTCAACCGGCTAAAGCGCCATCGCCCCCGCCAATTCAATCTTACAATAATTCACATATTAGTGCAGCGCAAGCGCAAGCTGTCAGCCAGGCACTCAGCCAAGCACAGGACGGTGTACAAAACAGTGGACAGACACAACAGAGTCAACCCGTTGAATTCAATCATGCCATCAATTACGTCAATAAAATTAAGGTATTCATTTTATTCGTGCAAAAAATTTATCGGGTGCAAAACTTGCCAGAGTTACCAGATGGTGGATTTTTCAAAGAAAAAAAAATGTTTTTTCTTTTTCGATTTTTTAAGAATAGTAGAATACATTCCAAAGTCTCAATAATATATCAATAAATATATATTGGAATATATCGTAATTATTATGATTGAATGTCCGCAGAATCGGTTTCAAGGACAACCAGACAAGTACAAACGTTTCTTGGAGATTCTCCATACATATCAGAAGGAGCAAAGAAACTTGAAAGAAGCGGGTCACATGGGTGCTGGTAGTGGGAGTATTCCATCTGGTGGAAAACATCTGACTGAGGCGGAAGTTTACAGTCAGGTGGCTAAGTTGTTTGAGAATCAGGAGGATTTACTCGCTGAGTTTGGACAATTTTTGCCCGATGCTACGAGTCAACAGAGCGCGCTGGTGAGTTTTATTTCTTTCCTCATATTGAATCCTTGGCCTCCCTCATCTCTTCATAAAATTCAAAACATCAACATCAATCATCATTGAAATAATTCAAATTGCCAAATTTTGTTACATTTCAAAAATTTCCATCTTTTGCCTTTTGACTTTTGTAAAAATTATATCAGTTTTTGGAGTAAACGAGTTAAATAATTGAACGAATTGGTACGAAGTGATAATACACCAAGGCCAGAAGCTAGAGCTCCGCCAATTAAAAATTCCAATAAGAAAACTTAGAGAAAGTAAAAAGAAACCAATTGAAAAACACCACAACTCACTTCACCGCACCATCATCAATCGCCTCCCCCTTCCCTAGCCCCCTAGCCAATGCCAAACATTCTAAACAAAATTTTCCCCCTTCCATGGTGCCTAATTGGTGCTAGTCTGCAATGTTTCAGGGTAACAAAACGACGGTGAACGATCACACAGCAATCGTGAAAAAACCCTTGATAAAAGCTTCTTACAACAACACAAATGTACTTTCCCGTGATCACCGAGAGCCTGGTAATCCAGGAGGTCTCGATCGAGACCGAGACCACCGAGATCGAGACAGAGATCGCGAACGTCCAGGTCCCCGAGACCTGAATAACACTCAGAAATTCGGTCACAATGCGGGTCAGCTGAAGCGCAGTCCCCCCTTCCCAACATCAGTATCAACCGGAAACTCCCACCACCCACCTCACGGTCCCCCACCCCCTAAGAAGCATAAAGTATCAGCTTCAGTGAGAGATGTGACGATTGCAGAGGCCGGGAAATACGGCAGTTTAAATGACTACGCCTTCTTCGACAAAGTACGAAAGGCCTTGAGATCCCAAGAGGTCTACGAAAACTTCCTGAGATGTTTAGTTTTATTCAACCAAGAGATTGTCTCGAAAACCGAGCTAATCCAGCTGATTACCCCCTTTCTGGGTCGTTTTCCCGAGCTACTGAGATGGTTCAAGGAGTTTTTGGGACATCTGCAAGATGCCACAGGCATCACGCCAACGAATTCCAACAGCAATCTCGTGGAATCATTGCCAAACAACGTGGTAAGGAGCCATCAGGATCGACCCCAGGGTGACTTAGCCATGGAAATAGACTATACAACCTGCAAAAGACTAGGTGCTTCCTATTGTGCTTTACCAAAGTCCTACGTGCAGCCTAAATGTTCTGGGAGGACTCAATTATGTCGAGAGGTGCTCAATGACACGTGGGTGTCATTCCCCACGTGGTCAGAGGACAGTACCTTCGTAACGTCTCGAAAGACTCAGTTCGAGGAGTTTATTTATCGATGTGAGGACGAGAGATTTGAGTTGGATGGAGTGATCGAGACGAATGCAGCAACGATAAGAGTTTTGGAGGGCGTTCATAAGAAAATGGGAAGGATGACGCAAGAGGAGCTGCAGAGGTTTAAACTAGATGATTGTTTAGGTGGGTGTTCTCCGACGATTCATCAGAGAGCGCTGAAGAGAATATATGGGGACAAGGCTGCTGATATTATCGATGGATTGAAGAAGAATCCCACTGTTGCTGTTCCAGTGGTACTCAGGAGACTGAAGAGCAAGGAGGAGGAGTGGCGAGAGGCGCAGAAGGGATTCAATAAGATCTGGAGAGAGCAGAATGAAAAGTACTATCTCAAATCGTTGGATCATCAAGGGATTAATTTCAAGCAGAATGATGTCAAGGCTTTGAGATCAAAGAGTTTGTTCAATGAAATTGAGACTCTTTGTGATGAGAGAAATGAACAGAATGACAGTGGTGATGGACAGGGCAGTGGTCCTCACATGGTGCTTCCTTATAAGGATAAATCAGTGCTTGATGATGCTGCCAATTTGTTGATACATCATGTTAAACGACAGACTGCGATACATAAAGAGGATAAACAACGAATTAAGTTATTGTTAAGGCACTTTATACCTGATTTGTTCTTTCATCCGAGACAGGAGTTGAGTGATGATGAGAGGGATGAGGATGATGATAAGGAGGAGGGAATGCCTAGTGGATCACAGTCGTTAACCACTAATGCATCACCACTTGGGTTACAGGGGTCTAGGAATAATAAAGCATCACCCTCACCTCCTAATGCTAATATTAAAAGCGAGGGGGATATCAAAGTACCTGTTCATGCATTGTCGACTGATCCTGATGAGGCGTATACCTTGTTCATGGGATCTAATAGCTGGTATTTGTTCCTGAGGTTACATCACATACTGTGTGAAAGACTTACCAAAATGTATGATAGAGCGGTAGCGTTAGCTGAAGAGGAGGCCATGTATAAACAGCAGAGGAAGGAAGTCGCTGCCGTTGCACTCAGGTTGAAACCAAAAAGTGAGTTCACCTTTATCGAACTTTTTATTACTCATTTCATTATTTATTTCGGCATTTTACACTGTCACCCAATAGTGCTACATTCAAATCTTGAGTGTCAGATTTCACTCTCTCAAAGCATCGCGGAATAATTTCATTATTGACACTGAGAAAGTCCTGTTTTTTTGCATTCCAACACTCTTGATAGAATGTATTCAGCAATTGAAAATAGAACTTGTAGGCTTTCATACGTAAAACGTTTTTGAAGAATGACTGAGTGCTTTCTCCACAGATGTGTTATTCTGACAATGGAAAAAAATTATGTTACAGATGAAATAGAAATAGAAGAATATTATCCAACATTTCTCGACATGGTGAAGAACGTTCTCGATGGGAATATGGAGAGTACAGCATACGAGGACACCCTCAGAGAGATGTTCGGTATCCATGCATACATGGCATTCACCCTGGATAAAGTAGTATCGTACGCAGTTAGACAGGTGAGTGTTGGCATAAACATGAGACCTAGAATTGAAGGAATGAATAGATCCATTAGAAAGTCTATTAACCTCGTTATTAAATTTTCACTTCAGCTGCAGCACCTAGTGACGGATGCCCCGTGTCAAAATTGCATTGACATGTTCCATCGTGAACAGAGGCAACCGAAGGAGAACAGTGGTGCTGGAGGACTGTGTGCAACCGCTTATTTAAGGGTCGGAGCCGAAGTTGCGTATCAAAGGAGAGCTGAGGCTGCTATGGCCAGCGAAAATTCTTATAAAATATATATTGTGAGTAAATTTTTATTATTCATTTTGCAGCACTTGATTCAATTACAAGCATTCTATCAATTCTCTATTGCTCCCAGTCTAGAATTTCACTGAAGGCTTACGATATTTTTTATCCTGAGCTCACAGTCTCAAATAGATACCGAAAATTGTTTAAAAATTGAAATAATTCGATGCCACCGAGAAAATTGAAATGATTATTTGCCGTGAATACATTATTATGTAATTGATTTGTATAAAATGGAAAATGGAAAAAATTATCCATTTTTGTAATAACAGATGAAATTTCAATGATGTTGTATTTATTACAGTACAAGAAAGAGTGTAAAATGACGATAGAATTACTGGACAATGAGAGTGAGGACACACCAGAGGGTTGCAATGATCGTGAAAGAGAGGATGTTAATACCTCTGAAAAATGGTCATCGTACGTTGAGAGATACTCAACCCCGATAATCCATGCCAGTCCAAAGGATACACCAACGTCACCAAACAATGAGACCAGCAATACAACAAGCACCAATCATCCTGTGAGTAGCGACCAGGCAGCAAGGGGGGGAAGGGGCAGAAAGCGCAAGAACACTGACATTAACAAGAAGGTATAGGACCCACGAGCCTTTTCATTAAAAAAACAATCATTGCCGCCATTGTAGCTTGCATACGTTCGTTTACCCCGTAATTGTGAATTGCAACCGACTACGAGAGAATTGGTTGACAATATCAATATCTCAAGTGCTAAAAAAATTCATTTCAAGGGACGTTCAAGTATCACCAAGTGTCCTCAGTCATGCAAATGGACATAATCACATCATTGTCATTACTCACACCATTTTTTTCTTTATCCTCGATTAATTGTCGTTTCTCGTTGGACGTCATATTTCGTCTATAGCTCTCACTTCGCCACGACACTCCATTTGTTCGTTAATTCATACAGCTGCATACGCATTTTCTCATCCAAATTTTATCGTTTCAATGTTGCCCCTTATTTTTTATAACTCAATTTATCGTCATTCACTAAAACTCGAGGGTTGTCAGTTAAAAATTCGGCGGTGAAGTGATGGAATAATAAGAATCAGGGATATCCCATTTGTTTTCTCGAGAATTTCTCTTCACTTGAGCGTAAAATATCGAAAGATCTCATTTGGAGAAAAGGTTTCTTGACATTCTCATTTAGAGTCCGCTCAACTCTGGGATAATCACGTACTTAAAAAAGATGGAGTAGCTGATGTACATTCTCATTAATTGCAGAATTATCTCGGTACTACATCTTGAGAAATTGCATTCGGAAAACTTGAGAGACCTTTTTGGGCGGTCATTTACAATTCGCGAGAAGGGTTTCTCGACATTTACAAGTCCTTCATTTTTAGAATTACTAAATTAACGTACTGATTAACCTGTTATTAATTTTTAGTGGATTAATTCAATAGCGAAGAGGTACATCGATTTGAATCGATTCTAATTACTCCAAATTTTTCTCATAAAATGAAGCAAAATTTGCAAAAACCAACTACAAAATACATAATTTTACCTCTGTGTGAGAAAATAATTTTTGTTTTAAATGGCCTAGTCCACGGGTGATTTTCAGGAGAATCATCAAGAGAACGATTTTTTTCTTGGTGCTTTTCCCACAATTTAATAGTTTCAAATGAACTAGTAAACTGGTGCAAAGGCATGAGTAACTTTCATTTGAGCATTAGTTTTCAGAGACTATTCCAAAATCAAACGAGTCCCAATTTCTTTGCGGACTTTCTTCTGAAGCCTCAGAAGATCTCTAAAATAATGACTCTACAAAGATCGTGCGATCTGATGGAGAATTATTTAGTGACAGCGTCTGAGGACCAGTTGATTTGTTCTTTTACTTCATTACTAAATTCGATTACTTATTCGTTCATTCATCACTTCGCTACTGAATCCATTATCACCCGCATTCGCTTGAACTAACCGAGAATCGCAAGTTCACTAATCGAGAGTCCTTGTACTTTTTTTCACACAGATAGAATTCAATTATTCATGAATCATTAGCTTCATGGATAATTAAGATTGAGACAAACGCTTTCTCGCCCCTCTTTTTAAAATATTTATTTATATTATATCTTTTACCACTTTTGGCTTTTCATTTTCTACGCTATGGCAAATTTATTTGAACATTGATGGATGGATTTTACACGAGCGTCTATCAACCAACGATTAAGGCCTAATGATATTGTATTCGGGAGAAAATAATGGGAGTTATCGAATATGATAACAATATTTTAACTGCATTGCCGGAGATAATTATTGAGGATTTAAAATATCTACGTCCACAAGAAGTTGATAAAAAATTCAGAAATTCGAGGAGAGCTTTCTTTTCTCTTGAAATATTCGTGGAGTTGATCTGAGATTAGATATCGAATTGCTGAAGACAAATCGAAGACCCTTTTTTAAATAAGATAAGCGCTTGATGATTATTTTCAATTCAAGAATAGATTGCACAGTAGACGAATCCTTTGATCCTTGAATTTAAAATTACGAATAAATGGAAACATGAATTCAGCGAAGAGGTAAAATTCTCCAAGTTTCCTTACTTCATGTTTAAGCGAAATTGAGTTAAAACATTTTACCACTTGGCTATTAAATTTAGAAGAGAATCGCATTAGAATACTTTCTGTGATGCTAATTTCACTCCAAGTACAAAAAGTCCCTTGGAAATGTTCACTTGTTTTACGAGTGTTTTTTCAAATTCTGCATTTACATCACAATCAAGACTTTCGTCTCTAGTTTTTTTAATTAATACTGAAATACGTCAATTGATTATTTTTACATTCTCAGTCGTAAAATTGTTTTTTTTTAATTAGTTTAAAATATATCGACGTGATCATTTGATACCACATCACATAAAAAAATGAAAGCATAATTTGAAGAACTGAACATAATATCAAATGAAATTAACAACGCGTTTAAAATTATCTACAACTTTTTCTACATTTAAAAAAATGGTATCCTCGTACTGTTTGGAGACTGCCACCTGATACAAGACAACGTGGCAGTTAATAAATATTTGATATGACAGGAATGCCGAAAAAATCAACCTAACATTTGCAAAATAATATAACCGAGTGTTAATTTGATAATTTTTCAAAGCGAGTATCAATGACTCTCGCTCTGGTGTACATGCGATTCTCCGAACAAAAAACCGTCAATTAATCGTAAGAAATGATTAATTACCGTGGACATAATTTGAAGTCCGCGAGGTTGCAAGAATTCCTGCCAAATTGAAGTTTATTACTAAAGAAAACTTGCCCTCCCGAATTTCAGTGCAATGACTCGAAATGATGCAAAATAAAGGTGAACAATGCGTTTTTACCTGCAGCATGCTCTAGTTACGTTTTGTTTCCTCTGTGTTATTCCGGTATTACTATGGGTACAGGGTTATTTTCTCTTTTATTTATTTTGCATTGAAGTGGTGAAACTTGCTCGTCATATGTTCTGCGATAAAGAGTCCTTCTAGTTGATAAAATCGTAATAAACGTATATTTTAGGTCTTGCCGAGGCTTGACCCAAGTGAGGGCTTGCCGTCATTCGGGGAAAGCACTGACGAATTCCGCGTCAACCGCGCTAACCGACACTTGAGGGCAGGTCAAAGCGCTCTTCGCCCCCTATAAAAGGCTCTCACTCTAGGTTCGAGATACACATGCATGCGAAGCATACCTGAAGTAATCTCCGCAGGGTCAAGCCTCGGCAAGACCTAAAATATACGTTTTCTTCTCTACGGGATGGAGAACGATTCTATTTTTTATACGTCTATCCCATCAATCATTTGCCAGAAAACTAAAAACAATAAACATGAATTATTGCTGAAAGGGTGTCAAACATTTAAGGGTAAACTCATTCAGAACAATTCACCACTTGAATTCAAATATCGTCATGCATGTCCACGAAGAACTCTGCAAATTCTTAAACTGCGCTTGGAGAAATTCTAAACGGTATTTCGGTTAATCGTAATCAGTGAAACGAGGACGGTAGAGACATATTCCTGAGGTGAAACGGAAGGAGAGGATGGTCGACTGTTGAATTTTTATATTTTTATATTTTAATGGATTGCTCGAAAAGGAAGGGGAAGAGAAAAAAATGGGTGAAGGGTTTAATAAAAGCCAGGTAAATTTTCCATAAAATGAAAAGGAAGGACCCACCAATAATTCTCGAGATATCGAGAAAAATTGTCGCGTTGCAGATGATTTTTCTCCTCATATCTGAAGAATTATTAAAGTAAAATGAAAAATCTGCTGGCTTCCTCATGAATAAGGTTTGATAGTTATTTTTTTGTCTGTTTGGATAATCACGCTCTTCTATCCTATTCCTTTCTTCTATACATTGATATTTTGGAGGAAAATTAGTGACGCGTGTTGTTTGACACGTGCAGGAAAATAATTGTAATGCAATGAACGTGGAGGAGAGGGCAGAGCAACGAGTCGGGGACAATTCACACACTTGTTGACGAGCGAGCTCAGGCAAGCAACAAATAAATAATGAGATAAATAATCGCGAACAACAGAACAGGAATGAAAAGATAACTGAAGAGTTGACGAACGCAAAATGAGGGGAAACCCAATTCTAGTTATAAAATGTGTAAATATATAGATACATAATAATTGAAGGAAATCATTGACTTGTGTAAATAGAATTTTTTATACGTATCGAGTTAGTTAATTAAACCAAGTAGAGTCTCTGAATTAATTTGTAAGGATAAAAGTGAAAAAAGCAAGAAAACACAAAAATTCATACCTAAAAGGCAAATCTCTTCATGTGACTAATCCATCGTCACTGATCTTTAAAATGTTGTTATTTAAATAGAAGAATTCGTACTACCCTAAAATCGTACTGTTCAATATCATCATCGATTGATTAATGTAAAGGGAGAAACAATATTTTTCTTACACAGACTGTGTGGATCTAAAAAGCACTCAATTTCAAAATGAAAACAACTCAAAATCAATAAAATCACAATGATAAATTCTCCTGAATCATAATTATCTAGAAATTCAAAAAGATTCGAATGTTTTTTCAAGAAGTTTTTCTACGAAAATTTTAAAGTGCAAAAAAAAAAGAATTATAAGACGAGAGGCAATTAAAAAAGGCAAAACAACAAGTTCAAAGTAACTCAGTAAGTTTAATTTTCTATGTAAGTTAAACCATGAAGTAGGTTTTGTGCAAAGTTGAGGGGGACACGAGAGAGTTTAACGTGTCAAGTGATAATTACTGTTTACAAATTCTTTCTCTTCTTCGAAGAGGACTGAAATGAAACTGAGTGTCTTTCTCACGACGCTTTGTATATTTCCAGGAAGAAAGAAAAATAATCCCCACGAAAATGAAATGAAAAAAAAAAACGTACAACTTTGTTACAAAATAGAATGACATAAATCATCGCACAATTTGGCATTAACTCATGGGATAAATTTTACACGAAAGAAAAAACAATTGATAAATGCTCATAACTTTGCACAACTGCCCCTCCCCCGCCCCCCCTCCCACCAGGAAGAGATAAGTCTTAAAATATCGTATTCATCCTTTTTGTTTTCTTTTTTTTTCCTTCCAATTTCTTCCTTTGGATAATTCGAGCCAATGTGCAATTCTGTAGTGAAGTGGTAATCATTTTTGTTAATTATACATTTATTAGAGAATAAGTGAATTCAGGAAAATGATCAGTCCTTTCTTGAAACCGCTCATTTTTTAAATAATCATCTATTAACAGAAATTCAAATGGAATGAGTTGGCGTACCTAATTTTGTTAACTCTTGATTTGTTCCTCTAACCAAACAGTTTATCAGAAAATACAAATTTTCATTTTGATTAAAGTTTCGTCTCATTAAATTCATTCGGTACTGAAACTCATTCACCCACTGCCACTTCATCCTTGAATTAAACAAAAATAAATATTAAAAAATTAAAGTTATTTCGGTGCATTCTCGCACGTTCAATCCGTCTGGACGTGATATACTTCCTCAAAGTACACGAAATCGTGAACGAATAGTCTAGAGAAATGTAAAAAAAAAAGTGACAATTTTATCGGACAGCTTTAGGAAATGAGACATTCTACTGAATAATTGATCTTGCATCACCTGCCGCAGGACGTGCGGGATGACATTATTAATTAATAAAAATCGAAGATATTTTTTTTTCCTCTGGGTTTAACAAACCAATACTGACAACAGTATAAACCTGAAAGTGTAAATCGAGACGACAATTGCATGTAAATAGAACGAAAGGTCATCATTGCTACATTTCGCAAGGATCTTTCCACTTTCCTTTTTTTTCGTTTTTTTTTCTCCTATATCACCTTAAACAACCATTTGTCATCATCGAAATGAGTCACTTGTATAAATATTTTCATCGAGACTAGTCTGTCGTCTATACTTTCGAGTTTTAATGTTAAAAGATGAGAATTGTGAACCTACGAGAAAAAAGAGAAGAACAAATTTATGATTGATTAAATATTAATTAAAATTTGAAGACAATTTCCCCCCCTCTGACCCCCGTCATTTTCCCTTTATATAAACGAATTTTAATCTCTATATATATATAAGATATATATATATATATTTTGTAACTGTAACTGTATATGAGTAAAAAAATGATATAATGATATAAATAACAACAATATTGTATAGAAGAGAGATATTGAAATACATGAACGATGCTTTTGAAAAAAATATATGTTATCGTCTAACATCATTTGTGTACCACTAAAAAAATTTTCATGTTTTTTTGCTTTTTAAAATCATTCGCTTTTATAGTTTTTTCAATTACGTTGTCAAGTGGTGAAGAAGGAGAAATTTTTCTTTCGAAGATGAAAACAATCCAGTCGGTGTGAATATTTCAACTCGTCTCGATTTATCAATTGACCACTTTATTTATCACAAAGTTTTGTTTCATTACCTATTCAATTGTCTTTTCATATATTTTTTATAAAGCAATCACAAACTCTTTGTCCACTGAAATTATTGATAGTCTTTTAGAAAGGCATTGACTTTCTTTCAGTTTTCTTGCTTTTTATTTTCTTTTACTCTTTTAATTTTTTAACGAAAATGTATAGTTTTGTTATTGTGTTCTTATTTGCCTCTGTTACACATTTACTCGATAGTGATTAATTTTATTCTCTCTTGAGTGCTTGAATTAAAAATACATATATCTCTTTTCTAACATAGCGTATAATTCTCTTTGATGATTAGCTATAATCAAATGTAAATGAGATTAAATTAATTGTGAACAGAGGCGTGCGTGGGGTCACAATAAAATCAAGTAGGTGACTCGATCGACATCGAAATGTGTAAGATTGATTAATTAATTAGGCGCACAAACAAATGTTCAATTTTGCTAGTTTTTGTGACAGTAGAGGAATGATGAATACTAAATATTCGTTAATTGGGTATTATCTTGGAAATGAACAATTGTACAACAGAATGTTAAAATACTTTACAGTAGCCCATTAATTTCATCTTCAATCCAACTGTCTCAATCCTCGTTAATTATCAAATTCTCTCGAAAACGAGTGATCGACAAAATATCAAAAAACTTCAATGACAAAATGTTCCGAAAACATTCTGCTACATGATCTGCTCCAATTACTCATTCTCCAAATAATCCAACAATTACAAATCCATATGATTCACATAGACTCGGGTAATTCACACTTCTCTACTAATTTTCTCGATATATTTATTTTGTAACATTTGAATCTTTTTTATTTCTGTCGACGTGCATTCGGAAACGTCGGCCGGGTCTACCCACGAGGTTGAAACTTATTAATTTTAATCTACGAATCTCGATGAAAATATTTTGCTCTGTAATCTCAAATTCACATTACGATTAATCCTGCGAGTACCTTCGTCTAGACCCTTCCGATCGTTACTGACAGCACGACGTAATCCTTTAATCACAACTATCTAGTTACAACCTTTGTAGAAATAATTCTGGGCTTAGAATGAATTTAGTTGAGTTTAGCTAGTAGAGTTGAGGTAGCAGTGCATGGGTTCTGCTTGATTTTTCATCATCATTTCACCTTACAATTCATCTCTAATTATTGATTTATACATACGGCATGAGTACAATCAATGCAGTTTTTTTGCGCTAATTTTTTGATAAAATAGTCCCTGCGTTTTATTTACTGTGATGATAATTACATTTTCAAACAAATAATATTTTGATAATACAATTGATTGGAATTGATCAATACTGCAGTTAATTATCAAATCAGTTAATGAAGTGAATTGATCTCTCAGGATTTTCGAAAATTGAGAAGACCTCGCGAAGATAATTTGAATGGATCATTTAGTAAATATTTATTGCGTAGTTAATTATACAAACTATATAGCAAAATCAATCTGACGACTTGGAAATTATTTCCAGTTTTCTCAATGTCGCAGATGAGTTTACTATTGGTAGTAAGGGCTATCGAGATGGATGGAGTAAATAATAAGTAATAATAATTGTTGTAGATCGATGGAAATGGGTGGAGCTCCTTAGGCAGGATCTTAGCAGGTCGCAAGCCTGTCTTTCTCTACAGAAATGTCCGGCAATGGAGGAAGCAAGCTGCCAAAAAGATGCGACCAACAGTTTTGACTAATCCGGATAAAAACAATGAGTATGCATTCTATTTTATCAGATTATTCATTGACAATATGAAATTTTCGCTAGCTGTGCTAATACTAAACATGTTCAGAACATAATTATGGAATAATTATCGATAAATTATTAATTAATGACGATAATGCAGCGAATAACGCTTCAACGCTTTTGAAAAATTATTTAAACCCACTTAAATCTTCAGTGTAGACATTATTTTTAAAAGTAGTAAATTAAATTGTTCTGCAGATTCAACTAAATCCCCGCACAAATTAAAAAAAAACATTCTCTAGAATATTTTAAAAATATAAATGAGAAATGGAACTCGTTTGTAAAACAATTGTACATTTTTTATGATGTGCTCATCTCATGAAATAAAAATTGAGATTTCGTGTTGAATAATAATAAAAATTCCAATTTCGAAAAAAAAAAGTGGATTAACTACATTTCGGAATTTTCTCAGGACAAACCATTTTCGGGAAAATCTTATCCGATTTCAACATTTTTTCAATTATTACACGTCTACACGTAGACCTTTCATTTTCTAAATAGGACTTCAGACGGAATAAAAATAATGAAATTCTGGTGTAATTGCAGTTCTGCAGAGGGAGAAAAAGCGGAGGACGCGGATGGTGTCAGCGATTTGCTGAAGAGTCCTGCGATGTTGAGGATGACGGGAACGAGTGATGGTGCCGATGTAATCACATCAGACGACACCCAGTGCACTTTCAATCCTAATAGTTATCACATGCTCTACGTAGCGAGTAAAGAAGCCTTCCTGTACAAGCCCAACTCTTTTGCACGAGCTAAAGAGGTAAGCATTCACCTCAGAGCACTCCTCAATCTCCTCCATTCCCACGATATAGCTGAATGAACACGGGACAATGGGACACGTTTTATCGGAAAACCGAAGGCATTTCCGGTTCGAAACACGAGCTGACAAGCAATTTCAACTCGATAGTTCCGAAATATTCATGTAAAAAGTTTTGCGTGAAATGTTTGTTTTGTGAATACCTCAGGGAGTATTAGAGCGAAAGGGACAATGCTGTTGTGTTTTCCAGTGGAAATTTTCCTGGATATGATTGTATCACGTTTCCACTTCTGCTCGGCATTTTCATTTTTTCCTAAATAACAATTCCATAGAGCAGCGACGGAATCTGCCCTATTGCTAATTTCGAATAAACAATTCTGGGAATTATTTCTACTCCTATATGAGATAGGATCTTTCAAATATTTATTTTCGTCAGGATAATCCGAATTTTTCCGTGACCATCTAATTCACTTCAGTTTTACACGATACTTTATATTTTTATTCATATTTGAAACTTTGGCGTGCGTGAATTATCAATTGAAACAAAAATTCAATGAGAATTTTATCTTGTTAGTATAAAATATTTCGAAATTCTGGATTGAAATTGTATTGTGGGAATCATTCCAATGGTTATAAAGAAAATAATTGAGGAGAATCAAATTTCGAGCACGAGAAGATCAGATGCACCCAAATTTTGCTAATGTAAACCGTGAAGACGATAATTAATATTATTGTTTTATTTTGCAGTGTCACCCGACAGTCACGAAAAATCTCAACACGAAATTCCACAGTTGGTTGTCGAATTGGGCATCGAAAAATGTAGCAGACTCGCAACATCGTCTCTGCCAAGACTGGTTAATGGGTCGTTACGAGAATTTGATCCCTCACAGGACACGAGTGATTACCGATAACGACCAAAGTCGTTCACCCTATCGATCCTACAATCGTTATCGTGTTGAGCGTATTAAATCCGAGGCAGACTCTGAGACGACGTAGTTGCACGAGTTTTCTGGTGTTATTAGTGGCGATTGAAGCAATAACGCAGACCAAACAAACATTGTGCACAGTTTTGGGGACCAGGTGGAAATGACTCCTTGTGGACTGATAGAGGATATCGCGCGTGTGTGTTAAATTCCCTAGTTGGCAGATCGATTCGTCATCTCCCATCAGTGAAGATCTTATTTTAAAAATATTCAGGAATCATGGAATTAATCCCACCTCGTGAATAACAATCTCATCATGAAAGATAAAACATTTCAAATGTAAAAATATCTTTTATTTCCGAAATTGTTTAAACAATCCAGTGGTGAAGTGGCAGAACGTGATTATCACCATTCGATTTACGTTCAGAGAAAAAATTATTTTTGGAAACATAAAGTCAACATTTCTTTTTGTACTTCGAGAATTTTTTTGTCTAAACTGTTCAATTCACAAGTTCTACAATCTACAAAATCATGTTCGCCATTTGGAATCAATAGACAAAATTTCCGCGAAATTAACGAATTCAGAGAAAAACATTCGAGAATGTTTTACCACTCCACTGCAGCATCTGCTCATCCAAATGTTTTTTTTTTTTTTAGCAATTGTTCATAGACATTTTCTAGATTCATTGACGTGCATTCCACTGCAATTTCTTTTAGAAATATTGAGATTTTTCTGATGATTATTTCCCAGCATTTCTTCGATATTTTTGTATTCAAAGGCGATTTGTACCCCAGTTTTCTTTCGTATTGCTTTTTTTAACGAATGGTAATTTCGGATTGCCTTTAAATGGAGTTTCGCAATTTTTGTCATGAACGCTTGTTAAAAGGAGGGGAAAGGGAAGGGGAAAGAGGAATCTAGGTGGTGCCTCCACAATTGAAAAAAAAAGCAAATAGATGAAATATGAAAAGAACTCAATTATAAAGGAAAAACCTGAAAACAACTTGGTTGTAATTTTTTTATAATTTATTTAATTGAACTGAAATGCTTTGTCATATGTCTTTCGATGCTGGTGATATTGGATATAATTGAACGTGTTGAGCGTGTTTGAAAATATCTGGGAGGGAATGAATTAATAATTAACGGGACTTACTTGTGACGCACTGAAATTTATCAAGAATAACCCGAAAGCTCCACATAACAGGCATGAGTGTCTGAATAATATATTTCCAGGCGTTTGCAATATGAGATAATACATATTCCGAAGTGATTTCCAAGTTTTCGAGTTTCAGAAGTACCAGAGGGTGAATCGTGATAAGGTTTACAGATAAATCATTTTGATGGAAAGATGTTCACTGAAATTTTCTTAAACTCGAATTTGCTGAAATACGTGACAATCATTTACATGAGACACTCGGATAGTACAAACAATGGCCTCACTGAATCAATCTATATCTCCACGAATAAAAGATATTTCCTAGAATGTACAAAGAATTTTATTGTATATTCTGTGCTCTTTTCACACTCAATTTTCATTTTTATTTTCTAATGAGAGCAGCTTTTAGTGTGCAGAAATACTGTACAGTAATTTTCTTTTGGGATAATTATTTATCAATCCTCCTCTCCGTTGTAATATATTTGTACAGAACTAACGCTAGGTGCTGTAAAGATTAACTTGTAAGAAATTCAAATGACTTTTTTTTTAATGAAGAAGGTTAAGACTTGTTTTGGTGTTTAGTCAATGTTTTACTTATATTTTACTCATAATTAGCAGCCCTATAATGTAAAGCAGTAATTAAGTAGATGAGTATAATTGGATGGGTTGCGATTTCATGCAATTTATTTTGTGAATATTAAATAGCCCTGGAAGATAAAACATCATTTGCTTCTGGAGTCAGTCGTTCTCGACGTATTCCGATAATTCTGTTGTCTTTATTTTCTATTCATCCGACTTTATCGATCTGTCGAAATTAATTCGATGAGCAATCAAAGTATAATTCGATCTGAATGGAGATGATGAGATTCCTGAGGAGTGCACAAGCCTGAGTAATTTTGGGGTAGAAATGATCTAATTACACACACACGCGCGTAACTCAAACTGAAGAGGAACGGCGGTAATCAATCAGTTTGATAATCGATTAAGGCCTAATTGTATCATTTTTCCAATGCCTCACTTCTGCTTTTCTAATATTTTAAACTTAAGGTATTTCGAAGTTATCATTTGTCAACAAATCTTACGAGAGTCCACGTAAATGATGAGTGCATAATAAAAATATTGAAAAAAAATGAACATTTTGAAAGACTGTTTTTTATTAATGTTAAGAAATAAGTGCAATAAGGACACAATTTGAATTCCTCATTTGAAATTAAGTAGATCGAAGTCATATCGTTATTTCTCACTATAAATTATCTATTAGTAATATTTTTCCTAGTGAATTTATGGCTTAATATTAATTAACAAAGCTCTTTTAAAGTGTTCCAAAATTTTCTGCTTGTTTTTATCGCGCAACCATTTTTTGCGAATATTTCTACGGAAACAACAGTTTGGTAAAGAATATAATTGGGCTTTAATCATCAATTCCACAATATTGTACAAATATTATAATAGGTATTAGATTCCAAGAGTGTGCGTAATACTGAATTAAAGTAATAATTTTCACCTTCCGGAAATCATCGATAAAAATTCAAAGCTGATGAATGAAAAATGGTTTACAATCAGACTGATGAATTGTGTACAGGATGATCTCCGCTGAAGGTACGATTTGTCTGCGATAAGATGTCATAATTATTTTTCATCAATTTTTCAAAGTAAATTGTTCGTAATTGTTTATTAATGAACCTCAGAGCCCGATGAATGAATAGAACTTATTCTCAGGGCTCTGAGGACTCCGTAAAATCTCCAAATTAATAAGTCAAGCTCATCACATTTTCACGTAGAACCGAAAAAATCATTACAATGTTCAGATGATTAGTGCACAAAAATATCAACTTCTAATTCAGAATAGTTAATTATTTTTACACGATAGATGATTAGGGATAAATGTAATTACGAGTGGAAAGATCTCTCCTTTGTACAGCCTGAGAATTTTCTCCCAAACCGAATTGGCAGAAATTTATGATTTCCAAAAAAAAGAAATAATCGTAAACTGAGAAAAAATGAGTCTCGATAATTATTCATTTGGTGTAACGGTCTTCCGAAAGCCTGAGTAACTTAGATTTTATTATCATAGAAGATATTATTATAGAAGATGGAAGAAAACCCCTAAATTGTTAATTTCAATTATCGAAATAAATAAATTATCAATTACATTCGAAATGAATGCGTTGTACATGAAAAATTTAGCTGTATATTTTTTTTACCTTAATATATGAGTATTTCAATTTGCACATTACTGTGACCTCAAGTACATGGATACGACGAAGGATTATTTGTTTTTTTTTTTCATTTTTAATGGTTTCGATAAAACATCATTAATGGAGAAAATTCTGTGTAATATTAAAGATATTTTCAATCTGTTATTATTTGTGTTGTTATTATTTATACTGAAGGTTGATAATTGCTGGATTTTTATATTTTCCCCTCACAATCTACAAAGGAAAGTAAAAATAGAAAAAGAAAGACCATAATTAAGAGGAATTAAAACTTTATTTTTCTTCCTAGATTACAGTGTTGTAAAAAGATTGTCCTCATATTTAATACCAATGGAATAGAATGAAACTGAAAAACGAATTTATTTTTAATGAGCTGAGTGCTCATTCAAGTTACGCTCTAACATAATAATTTTTTTCTTAGTTTTTGGCTATGAAAGCTTTATATACTTCACTCGAAATTTTTAATAAATTTCTTTCGCATATTCTAGTTGCAATACAAAATCCCTGATGAGATAAACTAATCAAATTTGATTCCAAATAAGAAACAAAACGACGCTGTGTCTTGAAATTCGTCTGAGAAAATGAGAAAAAAAGGAAAGTCTGTCGAAGCGACTGAGTTTTGATAATCATAGACTGTCAAAAAGAAAAAAAAGTCAAACACTCGACCCAATTGCTTTGTATCCACTTTGGTATCCTTTATAAAACTCCTCTGTATTTTTTTTACCATCCACTCTCATCTGAAATCTTCTTTATTTAAAGGTGGCCGCACAACGTCCGACTTTCTTCGGCTGCTCAGAATCCGCCGATGAATTTTGTCCTTCTCGTGGAACTCTCATCTGTTCCGTCAGTTTCTTCCGCTCTTCTTCCAGAGCCTTTGCCATATCTTCCAACTCCATCAAACGTTTCAGAACATTCTCATTCGACTCATGAGTCAAATAGTCATCCCCATTTGCTGTCGATGAATCCCGGGGTCCATCACTCAAAGCTCCATCATAAGAGCTGATATGCAGCTTAGACATCTCAGTCTCCAAATTCGGCTTCCTCGTGGGCATACGGACTTTCTCCGAAGTCTTGGAGTCTTTTTTCTCCGCTGGAGTCGCACATTTGGGGCTATCCTCAGGCTGGAGATCATTTCCCAGAATTGCATTTCCATTTCGATTATTTTCACTTGAAGATGGCCAATTCTTCGGGGGACGAAGTGGTCTTGGCTTTCCTTCATCAACATCTGTATTTTTTGGAGGACGCAGGGGCTCGTTGAATTTCTGTTTGAAGGATTCAACCTCTACTGGTTTTGGCACTTTCTCCTCAACTAATTTCGCCATTCTCTCCCTCTCTTTCATCCTGAATTCACGTCTCTTGGCTTTAGAAGCCCCTATCAGAGTCCTCACTAGAGGTTTGTCCTCACAATTTTTCATGGGATCATACGTTTGATGATAAACATCATTGTCCCAATCTTCTTCTCCAGTTGTTGGATTCACCTGGTTGATCTGTTCGATGGGGATGATCCCAGTCAACTGGGTGTCGTCAGTCTTGTAGAGGAATGACTGGATTTCCCTGGCATCCATGCACGTGGCCAGGTGATCCTTTCATAAAAAAAAAAGAACAAACATAAACGTTTAAAAAAACTGACGTGATGATTGTAAATTTTTAATTGTGTTCCACAGCTTGGGTTTGCACCTCCAACCACGAGGTGAACAAAAATCATTTTGGAAATTGAAAAAAGAAATTGACTACTCACCTGGAAATTGATTTTATCAACGATGTGGGTTGCATTGTACGGACAAATCTCCTTATCAGTCAATTGGTGATTCTTTTTACATCTGACGATATGAAATTGCTTCCTGCTGAGACGTATTTGATGGGAATTATCAAAAGGACAGAGAACCAGGGGATCCATTTCCGCCATTTTTTTCTTTGTTTGTCTTCTCTGCTCTCACAAAAAAAATAATCCACAAGTGGTGATCTCTTACTCAAAATAATTCTTCAGTTTCAACTGGAATTTCGTTCACTTCTCCTTCGAGAAACCCCTCGGATTTCAGTAGAAGAACAATCTCAGGATCAGGACTCAGTAATTTTTTGTAAGAAACGATTATTCAGTATTTTTTTGTATCTGCAGGAGACGATGTCCGGACAAAGACTGAAGATTTACCGCCACGCGGTACCACACGGCGCCAGAATCCAACGTTGAGTTGTCAGAATAAAGACTTTTTTTTCTGAGAAATTTTCTCAAAGTAAAAAAAGTAAGATACTTTAAAAAATGTATAATTGGTTTACAATATTGTGAGCAGTTTGTATTTCTTTCGTTTTTTGTGCGTCGAAAACCTCTGGAATTCGAGATGTGATCATCAACGAACGCAAAACAACACTCAGCATAATTCCGAGCTCTACATAATACATACTATAGGTCTTTCCTAGAACGGAGGAAGTGAGAAGGATGTAAACAATCTGTGATCCACACAGTCATTCGATTCAATACTTGGTGCTCAAAAAAATGAAAATAAAATAACACAGATCCAAGTGGTGTTTACGATTATACAAATCTCAGAGTACTACGTTATTTTTCTAACAAAATTTATAAAAGACATTTACAAATGAATTATTCTTAATGAATTACAATAAAAAAAAGAGTTATACAGGGTCCGGGTCGAAGTCCTCGTCAGTGTCTTCAGATCCAGTCGATGACGAATCATTTATTAAATCCTCATTGTCATTGGATGTTCCTCTAGATCTTCTCGAACCAACGTCGTTAATTTTATCGATGTCTTTTAATAGTTTTTTAATTTCCAGGCCATTGTACAATTTGGGAACATTTCCAGTGGAGTTGCCGAGCAATTTTGATTTAAGCTGAACGTAGGCCTCACTGATACTGGAAATTTCGGTCAGAGACGAGAGGATTTCAGTTGGTTTGCTGTGAGAAGACTCCAATGTCTTCATCGTTACATCTTTCAAGGCACAGTGGTTCTCTAGACCGTTCTGAAAATGATAATTAATTTTTAATCAACAGGTGTAAAGCTGTAGAATGTTTTTATATAGACCGTTTCCTTTATTTCCTGGTAATCCTGGGGTGTATGTAAAATATTTCAGTTTTACATGATGTGAAGTATTTAAATTTTGGAAAATATAAAAATTACCTCATGATTTCTGATGCAGAAGGCAAAAGCATGTGATTCAATAAGTTTATTCAGAATATACACCGCCTCCATTTTTTGCCTGCTGAAGAGGTCATCCCGGAGCTGCAGGAGATTCTCCCACTGTGTTTTTGTCTTTCTAATTTTAAGGCCCTTCATCGGGCACTTGAAGTAAAGACCGTAAAGGAGGAAAATACCCCCGATCTTACGTGTGATACTACAGCTGGGAGAAATGAATTCCTTGGCTATGTCCAGGGCTTCTTTGCAGAATTGCAGCATCTCTGCTTCACTCACCCGATTCCTAGGGTTATCCCGAGAATTTTCATAATTAATTTTATTCAGTTCTATTCTCTGGAAATTCTTACCAACCAATAAACGTTTGTAAACTTCATCATCCTCCAGAGCTCAGAGAATCGCTCGAAACTGCAGTCTTCATTCTCCTCAAACTTCTCCAAGAGTCTGAGGCAATCCTCTCTGAAACCCGGGGCTTTCACAGATTCTTCAGACTCGATGTCCTCCATCATTCAGGTAAATGGAGATATTTATTTAGCAATCCAACATCTTTTTCGTCCCTTCCGTTTCTTCTAAACAAACATTTCAATTGATTCCAATGCAGTCGTGGTCGAGGTAACATCGATACGCCATGCTATCGATATTTTTCATCGATGTATTGGTATATCGAGGTTTTATTATCGATATCTTTTCGTTGGAATCGTTGCAATCAATAGTTTTTATTTTTTAGTTTCTCGTGGAGAAACTTTAGAATTTGATAGTACGTATTCAAATTTACTGATTTACTGACATAGAATATGTATATTCGATGGAGTTCTTGAATATTCGACATTTTTCAAACATTCTTAAAGTGTTAAACTAATGAATTGTGATCTTTGATATAAACATCATTTTTAATGTTAGAAAATGAGTTTTGGAATGAAAATATGAGGTATCTGACCAAGAACTAAATTATAAACAATTAGAAATCCAGAGAATCCCATCTCTACTGACCGCTAGGGTTCGATACCTGCATCATTTTTTTTCATTTTTTCAAAATACTTACAATTTTTTTTTTATAAATGGCTAATCAATGGAAATATTGTTTAAAAACTGAATTTTTGAAAATCTAGAAGATATGCAGTGAAATTGACAAATTTGAAATTTTTGAAAAAGATTCCTTTGCAAAATATATACTCCTAATGAAATTATAATATTATAATAGTGCGTTATCCTAGTGGTAACGTGCTCGGCTAGCACGCCGACGGCTGGGGTTCGATCCCGCCAACATTCATTTTTTTTTTTTAATAATTCCTATTTTCTTTTTGTAAATGACTAATTATTCGAAATATCGTTTAAAAATTGATTACCTCCTCGACGTTCATGTTCCCCTGATACTTTTTCAAAAATTTCGAATTTTTCATCTTCAGTGAAAATTTCAGTGAATAGCTCCTCGATGTTCATGTTACCCTGATACTTTTTCA